TCGCCGATGAGGTCACACCGCCACCTCTGCTGACCTGCGCCTCCTCGGCACCAGCGTCGCCGCCTGCAGCCACCCGCGCTTCCTCGGAGCTGTCACTGGTAGCGGTCTACCATTGGATATTTCCTCTCCGTTTTTGTGAGTGTCCGAGAGGCGTACATCACCGGACGCTCCAGTCCTTCCTCGTCAGGCTGCAGAAGCACGGCTCCCACGCCGACTTCACTGCTATCTGTGACGAGCTTGAGCGGCGCCTCTGCATCGTACCGCTTTAGGACTGTGTCCCCTGCCAGCAGTTTCCGCACTCTGACCAGTGCGTTTTTGTGCACATTAGTCCATTTCCACGTGGCGCCCTTCTGTAAGAGCTCGTACAGCGGCGCTAGTTCCGTGGAGAGGTTGGGAAGCACGCGCTGGTAGTAGTTGATGCTCCCCAAGACGCTGCGCAGACTTTTCACATCTTTAGGGTCCGGCATGTCGATCACTGCGTCAACTTTCTCCTGTACTGGACGCAGCCCCTGTGCTGAGATGCGCCAGCCGAGGTACTGCACCTCGTCGAGTCCAAGTTGACACTTTTCCCGTTTCAGCTTCACCCCATGAGCTTCCAGCCGAGTTAGCACTTCATCCAAGCGCACGCACAGGTCTGTCATGTTCGCCGCCGTCACCAGCAGATCGTCTTGATAGGCCACACACCCGTCTATGCCATCCAGGATGTGATCGATTGCTGCCTGAAACACCGAACTGCACGCCGATATGCCGAACGGTAGGGATTTCATCCGATACCGTCCTCGGTGCGTGACGACTGTTGTCATATCCCGCGATTCCTCCGCGAGCTCCAGCTGCAGGAAGGCGTCTTTCAGGTCCAGTTTGCAGAACCGCCGTCCTCGGACGCTCGCAAAGATGTCCTCGGCGGATGACGTAGGATGCGTCGCCATTTGCAGCTGCGGGTTTACCGTCAGTCGATAATCACCGCACAGACGCACACCGCCATCAACCCGTGGCACCGTCACCAGTGGTGTTCCCCAGCCGGGCGCGTCGTTTGGACCGACTTTTTCCGCGATCCCGGCCTGCACCCAGCGGTCGAGCTCCTGCTCGACGGCCGGTTTCAGTGCATATGGAGGCGAGCGCACCGGCCGTGACACCGGCCGTGCATCCGGTTTCAGTGTCAGGTGCGCCTTTACTCCACTGATGCGCCCCGGTGTGCCGTCAAACACCGACTTGTGCCTGTTACAGACCGCCTCCAGGTCCGCCGTCCCTCGTTCCGGCGTGACGTCCATCACCGCCGTCTCTCCGCCGCCCACACTTATGTCCAGAGCCCGCAGCCAGTCGCGGCCTAGCAGACGGCGATCGCCAGGCAGGTCCACCACGACCAGTCGCAGTCGATAGTCCCGACCGCGAAACCTTACCGAGACGTCTGCCTCACCCCGGAGAGGGATCCGGTGACCAGTGAATGACGACAACTGCAGTTCAGAAGGTTTCAGTCGCAGCCGCGGGATGACCGTGTCCCGCCCCACAGCAGTGATAGGGCTGCCGGTGTCCACCACCATTTTGATGGCCACCCCGTTCACCGGTAAAGTCATTTTAACCGCCTCCGTTAGGTTAACAGCGTTTATCTGCCCCAGCCCCCACATGTCCGCCGTGGCAGTCCGCTGTCGGCATTGACTGCGCAGATGTCCGATCTGCTTGCAGCGGTAGCACCGCCGCGTCTCCGGTGCCGGTCTGACCCCGTCGGATCCACGAGTGTCAGATTCCCGGCGCCCCGGCCCCGTCGGCCGCCGTGACGCTGGTGCCGCACGCGCTGACTCATCCGGGCGTCGGCTGTTCTGACAGTCCCGCTGAAAATGTCCCGCCGCACCGCAGCGGTAGCAGCGGACCGTGCGCCGCTGGCGGCTCCGGTTACCGTCAGCCGTGCGCTGTGGCCGGACAGCGTTCAGCTGATCCGGCCCCGAGGTCACCACATCGACCTCTGGCCGCTCGTCCAATGCGGTAGTTGACCGTCCGACGCCGTCCGTGCTCAGAGACGCGTTACGGAACTGCGTCACTAGCATTTGCGTTTGCTCGTATGCACGAGCCGTAGCCTGCAAATCTTGCAGTGAAAAGTTGTCTCCTTTGGTTCCGACCGTCTGCAACAGTCGCTCCTGAATTTGTGGAGTCGCGCCGGCCACGCTCCTGTCCCGGAGCTCACGGTCGAGGTCAGCCGCCGGGAACCCGCACCGCCCAGCCACCGCCCGCAAACGAGCCAGGTACGCGTCGAATGACTCGCCGGCGTACATGCTCGTGCGGTGGAACGTTACACGTTCCGCCATAAGGTTAGACGTCGGCTGTAGATACTGGCGTAGTTTAGCCACAGCGGTGTCGTATTGTGACGTTGCAGCCGTTGCAGCCGCGGTCGGCTCCGGCAGGGTGTCGAACACGTCCTGGATGTTCGGCCCCATTAGATGGAGCAGGACTGCAGTCCGCCGCCGGTCGTCTGTTATGTCCATCGCCTCGGCGTAGAATTCCAGACCCTTCAGCCACCGGCTAAAGTCCATCCCCTTTGCAAAAGGAGCCACGCTCGGCAGTCCGGCCGCCATGTTTGCCACCGCCCCGAGCCTGCACCGGGGTCGGGCACTGCACACTGCACTGACCGCGCTGACTCACCAGTCACGCCACACCGAGCAGAGTCCAAAGTTCAGAGTCCAGCGGCCGCCGTCGCCGCCCGCACCACTGTTCACCCAACACGGAGGTGCAATACAAATGTTCCCAACAACGATACAGCGAAACGCAGCGGCAGAGCTGACAGCGTTAATGCACAAAATTATGCAGCAGTATAAAAAATACTAAGCACTAAGCAGAACTAAGCACTAAGCAATATCACCCGGCCCGACGCTATCACTTCACCGTGATGTATATCCGCGCCGACCGCCGCGCACTGCACCATCCAGCACGCCAAACGAGTTTGTCCGAGTCCCGACGCTGTCACTTCCCCGTGACGTATATCCGCGTCGGCCACCGGTGCCGCACCACCAGAACGCCAAATCCGTGAGAACGCCACTTGTCCTTCCGAGACCACCACTAAGCGAATCTCATCCTTGTCGCCAAGTTGTTGCGCCGCTAGTATCCGCGGCTGAGTTCGTTCCAGCTTCCGGGTCCGCGATCTCGGTCCGCGATCTCACACAGCGTTCTGAATAACGTAGTCCTGTATTGGTGATCGGTATCCGGCGGGGGCCGCTGCCCGACTGCTGCACGGCCGCACCGTGCCCACGAGCGCAGCGAGCTCAGCGCCACCTAGTCTACTGCACAAAGTTCAGAGGGCAAAGGGCTACGTCACCACAAGGGTCCTTACAGGCGTTGCTCCGAGCCCTCATAGACGCCGGTGTAGAGCCGTTACAGACGGGTGTGGGGCCTTTAGAGCTGCTGACGCGAACTCTTTACAAGCCGGCAGGGGGTCTCAGTGACCGGCAAGGGGTCCTTAGCGGGCTTAGGCCGGCAGAAGAAGTCCTGCGGGGTCCTAAGAGACCGGCATGGTACTGTCAGACGCCGGTGGGGCCCTCAGGGTCACCGTTGTGGGGCCCTCAAGTCATCAGTGGGTGGCCTTTAGATGCGCAGGTGTTGGGTGGGTCCTCAGAGCCGCCGATATAGGGCTTTAATAGGCACTGGTGTAGACACTCAGTTGGGGGTGTGAAACCCTCAGAGACACCGGTGTGGGCCCTCACAGGCACCGATGAGGGCCCCCACAGTTGCCGTTATGGGGCCCTCAGAAAAATAAGTGTGGGACCATCACAGGTGGGAAATGCCCCTAGAACTGTCCCCTCATAGGCCGGTAAGACCTCTCAGGAGCCAGTAAAGGCTGAAGCAGACTCTTTCCGCGTTCAGGAAATCGCATGCGAGAGCCTATTCAAATACATTGCAATTCCTCTCGCATCAATCGCTCGCGGGAGGTGCGCCGTGCGTGCGATTGATGCGAGCGTGCTTCCATGTATTTGAATAGGCTCTCGCATGCGATTTCCTGACTGCGGAGTCTGTTTCAGGCTTAACGGGCCTTTGGAGACCACCGAGGTGTCCTTAAAAGCCGCAAGAGGCCCTCAGAAGTCGGCGTGGGGCCCTTATGGAGACCTTAGTGTGGCTATTTAGGGCCCATGAGGTGCTCTAACGAGCCCCACGGGGCCCTTCTGAGTAGAAATATGGCCATCGTTAACCCTCAGCTCAGCGGTCAAATGGCGCCGCAGGGCCTCTCGGACCCGAGGGTCCCTTTGAACTCGATGGGGGGGGGAGGGGGTACGTGTCCCCTTCGACCCCTAGCTATGCCACTGTTTCATATGCATCATGTCAGATATTTTAGGCTCGCCCCCCCCCCCCCCTCCTAACTTGAAAATCGTTCGCGGGCCCCTGATAATATCAGATGTAATGTTAAAACAAATATCATGCATCTTAATTTGTGGTGATTTATTCAATGTATATTCTCTTAGTCACTGAATTGAGTAAGCATAGTATTTGCATGATTCACTGGGCTCATTACAGTACTAGGAGATGGACATTCTGATTATTGAGGGCCTTGAGTCAGCTGGGAATGTTTTGAGGAGGCTGGGGGTGCTTTAAGAAGGCAGGGGGTGCTGAGCTCAGGATTGGGGGTGCTTGAGCACCCACAAAGAGATATAAAGTTACGCTTATGCATATCTCCTAAAGCAAAAACCACAGAAACTTTAAAATTTCAATGAACGTCAAGAAAGGATTGAAGAGCTGAGCAGCTATACGAAAAATCAGGCTTCTAGCTCCAAAAATGTTGAGTGCAGGGCAGAAAAACTACCTAGGGGGTGGCAACCCCCCGCCCCCCCCCCCATGTGCGGGCGAAGTGCGGGATTCGGGATTCCATGTGCGGGATTCTACCGTATCGGGAAACTTGATTTGTGTCAAGATTACTTTATAAACTTTATGCGACTGAAATTTTATGAATATGGTAGCGATTTGGTAGCACGTCTTTCGTCGACAGAACCGACGAAAAAAGACATAACAGCACGCGCGCGTGTGCTGCGCGTGTGTGTAAAGATACACGGCTTTGACGGCTATATCAATCAAGGCCGTATAAGAGATATCAATCAGTATACGGCTTTCAGTTTACTGTCACTAGTTCCACTAGTTCTCTATATACCGTGCTGTCATTCTGCATTATTTGTATTTGAATGCTCGTGGTTGTTTTGCAGTGAAATCCCTTAAATCCCTAACGGCAGGCCGCGGGGAGCGATTCTCGGAATATCTTCTCTGTAATGGTGTAAGGGTTTTATTTTTCATTTGAGTACTAAAATTAAATCATGGCCCTCCCTGATGAGATTTCCCAAGCAATTGGGATCCAGGGAATGGGAAATGCTGCATCAGTGTTAAGCAGACCTGCTGAAGAATTCGGAAATGATGTAAGTCTTGTTTTGTTTTTCTGTGATAATATTGAGGAATGTACAAATGAATAATGGTTGCAGTAATTGTCACTGATACAATGATTGGAAACATTTTCAATTTTGACAACTCATCTGTTCCCAAAATGGAAATGCTAACATCCTCGCACAAATTGTTTGGGAAGGGTGACTGGATTTCATGTACAGTCTGTCTTAAAAGTACCGCGCAAAGTGACGGTGGATCCATCAAGCCTGACTGAGGTAGGGCCTGCTATAATTTGAAAGTCACCGAACCAATTGACCTAGGGAATGGACGAGGATGTGAATTGCTTCAGTTACTCAAATTTAGTAGGCCCTTCCTCGGTCAGGCATGATGGATCCACCGTCACTTTGCGCGGTACTTTTAAGACAGACTGTACCTATAACCACTTTTGCGCTTTAAACAAGCATGGATACTGGATACAACAAAAGCACTTGTCTTTTTGCATGAAAAGCCGTCTTACTCTTATGCATTCAAAGTCACCACTTAATATGCTCCTGAATCGTATCCATTTATGGAGACTGTTTCCAAAAATGGAGATGCTGATGTTCCAAAAATAGAAACGCAGAAACTAAAATGTGTGGATAACAGAGCTCAAATGTGTTTTTAAAATTTACATTCAACTAAACATTTGATGTTTTAGAACTAGTTTAACAATAGGCTCTCGGCATTTACCTTGGATGTCAACATAGTTACTGAAACGTTAACCCTCGCCGGCACAGCAGTTGGGGAAACTACGAGGCAAAAGTAAAAAAATTGATTGGTCAATAAATGGACTTTTGATGACCATATATGGGCATAAATGCAGCCCCCGCTACTAAGGGTGAAAAACGGTATAACAAGCCCGTACTTGCAGTATCGCGTCCAGTTATCGGAGAGAAAAGGCTTCTATTCTCCACTAGGAATTAGCGTGATTTGATTAAATTCGGCGAATTGGCTCGAAAATGGCGATAGGAAAACGGCTTTTCTGCAGGTTCTGGGCATCACAATCAGCTGGCCATTCAATAAATGGATTGGTTTTTTGAAAGAAAATTGTTAATAGATTTAATTTAATTACAATAAACAAAGATATTTAATTGTAGAATAATAACTTAACCACAATTAGAAAAACCATAAACAAAATAATAAAAATAATGACAATTTTAAACCACGGCACTGCTTACATTTTTTTGGCGCGTCTGTTTCAATCTGCCATATTTGCCCATCACTGATTGACCTTGAGTTGTAACTCTGCGATTTAGAGCCGCCAGTTAATTGTGCACCGAGTGAGTGTGGGCCTTGTGTGGCTAAAAAACATTCTTATGCCTTATTTTTTTTCATTTGAATGCTAGGATGCATTGAAAAGATGAAGTTGTCTGATTTCATGACCATATATGGTCATCGCCCCGCCCACTCCAGCCGTTGATTGGCTAATCCATTTTTTGTTTGGCTCCTCGTAGTTTCCCCAACTGACAGGGGGGGGGGTTGATGCAACCCCCCCTAAGGTTTTTCGCGAATAACTCGCGTAAAAAGCGTCCGATCGCGACGAAACTTTCAGTACCCTCGCATTGATCAATTTTACACGTTCCCTGAAAATTTCATGACCCTGACCCCAATGACCTTTGACCTGTGACCTCTTTTCCGTGACCATGTTTGGCCGAAATCGCGATTCGGCGTACCTATGTCGGCTCGCATTAGCCGCGCGTTTGCAAGCTTTTCGTGGTTTCAAACGTTCAAATAGTGATTTGATGTTGCTCCCATACATTAGGGTGGGTGTCAAGGTCACCTGAAGGTCAGGTCAGGTCATTGACCTTTGTTGACCTCGGGTGACCTCGGCTCACTTTTTCGAGTTTTACATGTTTCTAGGCTAATTTTTGGAGCTGAATTCGAATTTAGCAACCATTTGAACATTTACGAAGTAGTTTTGGTACCTTCGTAACATGCTACGAAGCTGTCAGAGGCGGTTGACACGTATTACAAATACCCGTCACAACCCCTACCGGTTGACCTGACCTGACCTGACCCGACCTGGTCTAAATGCTTAAAAACATCATCTCTGATCAAAACTAACACGATATTCGTGATCAGAACCCCGGAAAACCACATAGCAGCCACACTTAACGACTTTCTAACAGGTCCCGATTTTCCCGGTTTTCGGGTCATTGACCTGACCTGGAAGGTCACCCGATGACCTAGGACCTTAAAATTGGGTATCATCGGCTTCCTCTCGTGACGGGCAACACGCTCGTTTTTTCCGCGAAGCTCTAGCTCGATCAGGGGCCAAACGCGGGGGGGGGTCGTACCAACCCCCCCCCCCCTTGTGCCGTCGAAGGACGCAAAATGGCCTGTGCCGGCGAGGGTTAACCCGCGCCCCGCTGGGCTATTTAGCCATACGCGCCCTGCTGGGGGGGGGGGGCAGATTCTGCCCCCCTGTCTAACTTCCGAACCGACGCGATGGTCGTAGAAACACGGGGAAATGGCAATCGAAAGCTCTCAACAAGGGGGATCTTAAGAGCATATTTTTTGCTTAAGTAGGTCAGAGGTCAGGTCAAGGTCAGGTCAAGGGTACAAAATGCAAGTTTCTACAGTATCGGCCTTGCACCGTAGTTGCTGAAGAATGGATGGAGACTGATTGCCCAAAACGTGTTCATAGGCTTCCAAGACAATATTCGTTGCATAAAATATCATTCAAAGGTTAAGGTCAAGATCAGGTCAGGTCAGGTCAGGTCACCAAAAAAAAAATATAGAAAAGGGCATGTGTGACATGTTTTATGGGTCATTTTATTCATAGAATTCAATAGGCACACTCAATAAGTGATATGGACCACATCTGGATGAATTTCAGGTCGAGGTCAGGTCAAGGTCAGGTCAAGTGAGGTCAAATTTTGAAGTTTGTTGTTCAGGCCTATAAAGGTGTCTATCTGATGCAGTGTTTCACGGCGAATCGAATGGTGCTATTTTTCTTTCCGTAGGTACGAGGTGTAGAACTTCCAAAAAAAATCATTTTTCAAAAATTGTGTGTGTCATGACATCATAAAATTTTGAATCACTCCCACATTTTTTAACCAATTTTTCTAAAAATTGGTATGTAGGTGCACATACACCACTTCTCTGACATATTGTTTTTTCGATACACTCAAAATTTTGAATTTTATGAGTATTTTCTGAAAAAGTCGGTTTTTTTTAAGAAAAAAATTGGGCCAAAATCCAAACTTTTCAAAAAACCGAGATGCCCATTTGATAGACAAAGTAAAATCACGTAATACCTTTTTTTACGTCTTGATTCCTTTAAAAATGAAGATGTTAGTGGCGTTTGATATTTTGCCGTTTTTGAGGTGAAAATGGCGAACATGACGTCACTAAAATGGCATTTTCTAAAAAAAAATCCGACGGATTTCGCTCAAATTTTCAGGGAACGTGTCAAATTGATATATGATAAGGTACTGAAAGTTTGACGTCGCTGGCGTAACGCGTTTAGAAGTTATTGGCGTAAAACGGGAGGGGGGGGGGCAGATTCTGCCCCCCCCCCCCAGCGGGGCGCGGGTTAAGCGCCGCACCGCAACTTGGGTACACTGAAAAGTCAACTAAAACTAAGATTTCCCAGAAATTATTAGAGAAATGTGGTCCAAAGTGTAAGTGGGCAATGCATAAAGAGTAGCTATCATTTCAATACATAAAATTGAAATAAATGTTACACGTGAGCAAGAATGATGAAATTCATCCACAGAATATGACGGTATTTGGTGTGACGACGGCGCAGACGTTATTTCCATCCTGCTTTTCACTTGTTTGCACTAAGGTTTACATGGATTGCAGCCTACGATTATATTCAGCACATTTGAAATATCATAAAATGCCCACTTAACCCTCGCCGGACCTATTCGTTTTCTACACCGAGGGGGGGGGGGCAGGTACGACCCCCCTGTCGCCGTTTCGCCCCTGGTGCAACTAGCGCGTCGCGGAAAAACGAGCGTGTGCGCCATTACGAGACGCAGCGATTGGTACCCGATTTTAAGGTCCTAGGTCAACCGGTGACTGAGGTCAGGTCGTGTCCCAATGTACGGGTCAGTGTTTGGTGAATAATTTCGCAAAAAACGGCCACAGAACCGCGATTTTGGCAGCATTGTGTTCGCCTCGCTCAGGCGCATCGAATGATATTCTTTTCGTTTGGGTCAGGTCAACTTAGGGTGTTGACCTCAGGTCACGGTCAGGTCAGCGCCCCCAGGTCACGAAGTTGGTCGAAAGAGGTCATGTCGCATATCATTCGATTCGGTAGGTCTTCCTGAGTCCATTGGTGGCTTTCCCGACTCGCTAGCACAATTTGATCGGGAGTTATTTTTACGAAAAACTGATGACCTTGATGACGTCATAAATGACGTCACGCAAGGGCAGCATTGCAAAAGTGACGCATCTAGAGTGCATCAAATCACGATTCTGTGTGCTTGAGATAGTTGGAGATCGTTCCCGGCGCCAGAATAGCAGTTTTTATTTTTCCCCATTGACTTACAATGGTGAGGTCACGAAAATGACCTGACCTCATATGACGTTTAGGAAAAATCCGAGATATGCAAGTTGTGAGACTCGTAATCGATACTAGATCCTGCAAGTTTCATTTTCCTGTGAAAGCTCCTCTGGCAGTGAGAGCGTTGCGAAGTTGCGACATCTGAAGACCTGCAGAGGTTCACTTATGACGTCATAGGTCAGTGACCTGACCTGACCCGAAAATGCGGTTTGTGTCAAAAGATCCGGCTTGAATTAAAGATTAGGTATGCCAAGTTTCAGCTCCCTATCGCCAGCTGTTCGGAGCTATCACGAAAAAACCTATGGGGGGGGGGGGTGGCGGCACCCGCCCCCCCCCCCCTTCTCGGTCGGCGAGGGTTAAGTCTCCACACATGGCTTTTCAACAACTTACATATGATTAAATTAAAGACTGACGACCACCAGGCGGCTGGTACACCGGAATATGCAACGTGAAAAAGAATGGAAAACAAAAGTTCCCGGCGTTCCCGGTGATGCGGTTGTTCAAATCAATGGGCCAATCTTTCAGTAGTCTTTTAAATACGCTATTTTTGTATATGTTGTTATTTTTTTTTTAGAAAAACGTGCTGACTTTTTATCACATCAACATGTTATAAGCATCGCCTCGTTCGTCAACTTTCGGTTTTCTGATCGGGAAGTCGGAGAACAGGAACATAAACTAGAATGCTGGCTGTCGATTGGTGGCATCCTGCACATGCCAAGTTGCACCAAGCAATATCCAGTTTGCTTCAAAGGTAGCAATGCACGCAACGTCTCGATTTATGAAACGGACCGTGTCTATTTTTGGAAACAGCGTATCCATTTTTGGAAACAGCGTATCCATTTTTGGAAACAGCGTATCTATTTTTGGAAGAATGTTCCAAAAATGGAAACGTTTCCATGAATGGATCGATCATACCACACTGTGCCCGACATATATCTCATTTCCTAGACACTTTACCCTAATATACAAATAAAGGAGTGCTTCATATCAAAGGGAGACTCATTCCAATTTCTAAATCCCTTTTTACTATGACCCATATTACTATGATATGATGTTATTTCTAAGCAAGTTAGCCTGCTTTTAAGATGCTCCAGTAAGTGACATTTGGCAGTTGGTTGTTGGCACAGTGTACTGCTGGTTAGCTACTATAGATTTGTAAGATGACCTTTCATCCACTGAGCTAAAAGTAATTTATTTGCGGTACCTATAACACTTGAGCCTGATTTTCTTACCCATACTGTATGTAACTTTAGTTGTCTGTCTTTTCAGGCATCACTGGAGGCTGCTTGGGCTGTAAAAGCTTCAGAGCATGCTGATGTTTACTTCAATGTAAGTGTGTCAATGGGGAATATTTTAAGTACCTAATAACTATGCCAGTGCTGGCATTAGGTAGGACCAATTACGTCTAATGAATGCATATTTATTTTGTTCAAAACTTAAATAATGAAAACAATTTTAGGCCAGTACTTAATGTCAAGCGAAAAATATTGGGTTGGTTTACCATTCATTGGTTTACCATGGGGATGCGATAATTTTTATGCTTGATTGAAGGAATTGATTTTTATTTTGGAAGACTCAACTGACTGGTGTTTGTTCATTCACCCTTCTATATGCGGGATCTAATTCAATGTGTATTCATGGGTGGAGGCTTCCACTGGCGTCCAACTGGCGTCTGACTGAGCAGACGTCCAAGTTGGCGTCTAACTTGGCGTCTAACTGTTGGACGGAGACTTCCAAGCAAGGCGCGTCTAAAGTTAGCTGTCGCCAGATAGACGCAGCCGCTGTCCAGCTAGACGCGTCTAAGACTTAGACGCGTCTAGCTAGACTCGAAATGGAAGTCTCCACCCCTTATGTGCCATCTTACCATCTCAATCATTATTATGCTAGATTATTTTGTACCTACTCATTAGTGTATAACCTATTCTGTTGCTTTGATGCCTGGGCTTTGCTGCTGAGTAATGAACATGGAGCATGCCATGTACAATACCATTTAGTGGCGGCACCTGATTCAACCTGCTCTTTTCTGAACTGCAGATAGTGTGTTCTGTGTCACCAAGACTGCTGCGCCTGACTCCTCACGATGAAGAGATATACACTCTGTTCAGGAAGCAATTCCCAGACCTCACTGTGCAGCTTCTCACTGAGGATCTCATCAAGAATGAAGAAGCCAAGAAGGTAGGTGATATCTTTGTGTATACAAAAAGTGAATGGCCTCATGCATAATGGATGGGCCCTTGAATTTCAGACAGAACAAAAATTTCATTTTCTAAAATACTTCGCGCCTTCATTTTCTTGACTCAGACATTCAAAAAATAATTACGGATATCATATAAAGTCCTGAAATGTGATCTGTATTCTGTCTCTTGATATGGGTTCTAATCTGACAGAGCTGCATAGGTATCAGCAAGCCACACATGCTGGTGGGGGGTGCCAGATTATTTTGCACTGGCATTTCCTGATCGGCAGGTTGAATGACCGATCCCACACAGCTGATCACCTGCATTTCGTTTAACCGACCTACCGCCTAATCGGGTTTGCTGTTTTTATGCCCATCGTGACTGCTATCATTCCGATACTACGGGCGAGTTTTCGTGTTATTATCCATGTTTTCCATGTTTTGAGTCTTACGTTACTCAATCGTGCCAAGCACGACTGAGTAACGGAAGTTTGGAAGCCAGTCAAGTAGCTAGCTCTACGAGAAATAGTAAACCGCTGGAATGCACGTTTTAGAAACGTCGCTGCTTGGCGTCAATTCAGGATAAACCTTAAGAGCGTTTCTTTTTTAGCAGTGTATCATCACAGCTTGGGAGTTCTGACGAAAAGCTCAGTCCAGAAAACCGGAAATTCAACAGACAACCGAACTCACTAACTAAAGAACTGCTTTGGGCCTTGGTTGTAGTAATGCCCCCCGACCGTACCAGGAAGGTCTTGACTCCGACGTGTCTCAAACAAGAGGCGCGCCTCTTCTCCTTGACACTGATTGGCGCGTCCTCCATTCGGTAGGAGTGGCGCGAGTTCTGCAACACGTTCGAGGGCAAGGTGGAGGACTTCAGCTTTGCCACGCTGCTCCGGCTGGACAGCGGCGACGAGTACTCGCAGTCGAACACGGTGGTGGTGCCGCGCGTCCAGTTCTACGCCATCGAGCTGGCGCGCAACCGCGAGGGTCACAACGACCAGCTCAAGGACAAGTTCAAGCCGCAGCCGCGCACCAAGGCCCGGTAGTCGAGTGGTCGGACGCGGGCTGAGGACACGGCTGGACACAGTGCTGGTGGTGCAGTGCTCTGCGGACATAGTGCCGCGAAAAGTGGGAACGTGACTAAGACTCGACATTGAGGTGTCCTTGTGTACGGGAAGGATCGATTCTATCTGTCTGGACACTGGATCTGCTCCGTTGTGGGCGCAGTCTATTCGGTCTGTTTACATTGCGGTTGGTTTCAAGATCGAACTTTGACTTCATTGGGTAGTGCTCGTAGCCTTCCGTGGAGGGTTTTGTAAAGAGACGTCTGCATTTTGACACGCCTTTTTCACAAGGGCATGGGAGCTTGCGGATGCCACCGTGCGTAACACATGCATCTAAATGTTGCTCGAGGAAGGCGATTTAGTTCAGCTTTGCGGCATTAATCCGATTTACCCTCCCCAGGTCAGAGTGGATGAAGCTCCACAAAGTATATCCATCTTTGCAAACAATATTGTTTTATCCCAGGTCAGAGTGGATGAAGCTCCGCAAAATATACCCATCTTTGCAAACAATTGTGTATTATCTTACACCAATATTTATGTCCACATGACAAGTTTGTCTTTCGACAGCGAAAGAGATGCTCACACCGTTAACACTCACAAGGCGCCAACAACTTTTCTTTCTGTGCATTTAGTTAAACAACTTTTCACGGCGGGATGACATCTCGGATGGTGGTTCTGGGTCATGCTCAGGCGAACTGACGGACGGGTATTGTTGAACGGACAGAAAGGGCGGTCATGTGTGTCGTAAGTAAGGGCGGAGGTGACGGAAATATTACGATTATACCGTACAGACTGGTCATGATTTTGAGACCCAGGAGGTACTGTGTTCGGTAAAAGAATGGGGACTGAGAAGTGATTTATGTCGGCGGTGTAATGTATTCTGTGCTATTAGCTATTATATTGTTTTTGTGGAAAATTTTCCCAGTTAATCAACGCCGACTAACGTCGATTATTCCATAAACGTATAACCGTGACAAGAGAAAAACAGCAAGCAAAGAGCATCACTATTTTGTTCGTATTTCTTCAGAGTTTTGGAATTTTGTAAGAAAAAGGGAAAAAGTATTGTGCAACAGTGTCTCCTGGTTCTTTAGCGAACGTTGTATATGAAATAGGAATTCAGCGGCCAGCGGTCATCACCACGTCCACACTTGCATACTATACGGCCCAGTCAAAGATAAAGCATGCTGGATGCTTATCGCGCACACAACAATGTCATTATGATAGCAGTAGCTGCGAAGTTCTGAAAACGATCACATCCCCGAATGTTAATAAGAACATTTTTGTTTTGTTGGGTGAGGCCCTTTCGGTCGACAAGACCATTGCAGAGCCGGAAGGATGATAGGATTTAGGGGGTGACATTGGTCTGGGCAGGCACCCTAGTGAGTCGCCGGGGCTGAGCCCGTCCAGAGGACAGGCCACCCAGCCCCAAGGCACTCACTGCACCCGGCTACGGGGTGCGCTCCCTCGGGAGCAGCGGTGCCGCTCCAAGGGAGCAGCCCGCATGAGATAAAGTTGCCTGTCCAGCCCGGAAGAGGGTTGTGGCGTGGAGGAGAAGGATTTCAGTTTCCTGAGGATAGAAGCACGGATAGGTGTGGTATAAGAACATTTTCTTAACGTATGATGTAAATCTTAGAGATAGGTAGGTACCCTAATTTACAATCGTTTTCGGCACTGAATTATTCTAAATAAGCTTTGCTCTATAAGTAACAACCGAAATCTTATTTCCCAATAGATATTATTGCCTCAAAACCGGCTTTTCTCGCCGCAAAACTCGGACGCTCACTGGTAACGCAGTATTATCACTCCCATCCATAAGCGATAATAGTCGTGAAATGGCTCGATCGGAGACATTCTTCGACAACTGGATATGCATCGATTCGAACTTAGCTGTCGGGGTTTGCTTGTTACGCTCACGAGGTAAGGCCACGTCAAAGTCAAAAATAAATTGTTATGATATTTAGTGGGAACATGGTACAATCCACAGTGCGTTAGAGTTCACCATATGGACACGGACGGTGTGCTCTGACCTTGCATACATGAACAGTTGGAGCACCGAAGCGTTACCGGCATTAGAAAATAGATTGCATCCACTCAGAACCGGGCCGTGCCGGCACCGCACACGCAGCACATATCACAGACGATAACCGGCCGAACCGGGCCGTGAGATAAAGGTAACCCCGACCTTCACACAGGGTAAGGCGGGCGGCATTCGACATCTTCCGGCCTCACGCATGGCCGCATCCGTCTCCATACGACTCGAGTCCCCAGCGCCGTCCGGGGCGCCAGTCCGCCGCACCACCTCACTCCAGGCCGAACCCCTCGGCGTTGCAGATGGCCACGGAGAGTTTCTGTTTGAGCGTGGCGCGGTCGCGGTAGGCCGGCAGCACCAGCTGGTTGAAGCAGGTGTGTGCCAGCGGCAGCATCTCCTCCTTGTTCGGGTACAGGCTCACCTTGAAGGTCATTTCGCCCATGCCGCCCACGGGCACACGGTCGCTGCCCGTGACGAACAGCAGGAACCGCTTCTTGTCTTCGGTGCTGAACTCCTCCAGTGTCGCCCACAGGTTCCTGCAGAGTAGGCAGCCGTAGGTGTCACGGATACTTCACAATTTAGGACGGCAGTTGGGGGGGGGGGGGGATGAACAACACGGTACTAACAAGTCCTTTTTTAGTGGAGTGTCAATGCACTTATTGCCTATTGCCACCCGCAGCTTCTACCCGTGAGACTGGTATTGTGTCGTCTGGCCATTTTTGTTTTCACTCACTGTATGACCACTTGGTTAGGTGTGTGGTCATCGCACATTATACTGTATGACTTGGTTGGGTGTGTAGCCGTCGTATACTCACTGTATGACCTCGTGGTTGGGTGTGTAGCCGTCGTATACTCATTACTCACTGTATGACCTCGTGGTTGGGTGTGTAGCCGTCGTACTCGGTGACCTTTTTCAGCTCTGACAGGTTGATGGTGGGACAGCCGCAGACCACCATCTCCACCTCCTCCGGCCGAAACATCTGCCAAAGTTGATAGGACAGGAGCGGTAGTGACGAAAACGGTGCGATTTGTTTGTGGTCAACCAACATGACGAGTGAACACCTTACACCAGAGCTCCTGCCTTCTAATCTTTTCACTAATCTTCCCTCTTTCTATTCAATAGTTTTTCTTTTAGCTCCGATACGTCCGAAGCCTGACGTCCCGGCGTTTGACGCCCTAATGATGCCCGCTCGTGCGCGCGTTCGTACTCACCAGCAGGGCGTTGGAGGCGCCGAGCGTGTGGAAGCCGAGGTAGAAGGCGCGCACCTGCTCGTAGATGGCCGTGTTGAGGATCCAGTCCAGGTAGAGACGCACGTACTCGTCCCGGTTCTCGTTGGTCACCGGAACCTCCTCGCCGTTCTCTCGCAGGTTCACCGTGATCACCTTCCCAAACTCCTCGATCGAGACGTGGAAGTTGAGGCACAGGTCCTCCTCGACGTTACCCTCGTAGGCCAGTAGCTCCTTCAGGCCTCTTGCTACCTCCTACACACCCAGAGATGTGTGAGAGAAACACTTTAAAGGCATGGCATGAATAAATGCGCTGATACCGGCGGAAGAGGATTTGACAAAAGAATATGAGTAAGTTCTGTGAGGTCAGACGCATTTTGTCATTACTTGGTTATATTTTCGTCGTTTCATTCGCTTATTCATATTCAACATTCGTTGATCGACACAGTCTCCGTATTAATATGAAGTTGATGTAGAGCGTTTTGAGATGTAAAGGGGCAGTGTTAATTACGAGCATGTTTACCAATAAAAGCATGGGGCCTGCCGTTCTTTAGAGGTCGCCATCGGGTAGCGAAATGCATAGATCCTCAATATTTGAGGATAGGACATCCATAGATACCTGCATAGGTTTGGTAATGTAGACACGCCGCACGGCCTGGCACAAACCACAGATGGCCGTATTTTTACTAACCGGCATGATCTGGGCCAGGTCTTCTAGTGTGGGGTGTTTGGCGATGCCCACGGCCACGTGCTCCATGGTGGGCACCACGGGCGGGCTCAGTAGCTTCCTGCCGGCACAGACAACGAACACAGGTCAGACGGCACAAATAGGTAGCTGATATTAGACAGCGAAAGTGGCACAAACGGCTATGTCACAAGGCAGACGGCACACACAGCGAGGAAATATTAGACGATACAGCCATGGTAAACCGGTGGGACGTAGTGAGAATCTTTGGAATTGTGGAGTCGACATATGACAAACGCCAAGATCTCTGAAATGGGTTGTGGCGTATGGATTATTATCCATCGACACTAATCACAAAGCAGCGAAACAAGTGTAGTAATGTGTATTGGGATTGTACTATATCAGTGGTCGGCAGGTCACTCGGGGCTGTGCCCCCTTTTTAGGCGCCAGGCAGGGCCATTACTCCCACCTACCAGACCCCATTGCTGTCACAACCAAGTTTACTGAAATTCCATACCTTTCTGGAACTCTTTGGGTATTTCTGCATTTCCAATGCATCAAATTTAAAACATGACACTTCCTCCACAAAGCATTTAGATTTCAGTATATCCCATTTAACCCTCGTACATATAGGGGCGGCGGGTGGTTTTTCGTTAAAAGCTCACGTAAAAGCCGTTGGATCACGACCAAATTGTACCCTCGAGCCAATCATTTTTTCTTAACCTGCCCGGGAATTCCTGAGGCCAGTTTTACCAACAGAAAAATAGCCGCCTGCCGGAGTTTTTGCCTAAAAACGCTTCACATACGTAAGCGCGATGAGCATGTAAGTGGATAGGGTTTTACCGTTTACGTTTACGTTTACGTAATCATTGGCTTCACATACGGAGCGTAAGCGCGATAAGCATGTAAGTGGATAGGGCTTTACTGTTTACGTTCCGTATGTTAAGCGGTCTTAAGGCGAAAAATTCCGGCAGGCAGCTATTTTTCTGTCGGTAAAACTGGCCTCTGGACCCATAATGATCATTGGCTTATGAGCTTTTTCTGGAGGTCATCTTGAGCCATAAAATCTCACTTCAAGAAGTTATAGCGGGTCCCGATTTTCTCGACACTTGTCTTTGACCTCCGGAATGAGACGAAATGATCAAGGACCTTAAAAATGGGCAGCAGCGGCTTCCTAAAGTCACGGGTAATACGCTCGTTTTTTTTATGCACAGCTCCATCTCAGAGTCCGAGAGGCCGCAGGGGTCCGATCGACTCATCCCCCTTACGTTAGCGGCTGTTGAAACGCCAACAGACGGGCGACGGTTAAAAATTGCAGCTGCTTTTGTACGACTGTACGGAACCGCGGTGGGATGGTGAGGCGAGCAGCTACGTGAAAATTGGTATCTTATCAATGTGTGCTGTGCCTTTGACCTGGGCTAATCTTTGAACCCTGGGATGCAACAGTCACGATGGTTCCATCAATGGAGCCCCTAACTCTAAAATGATAGGTTTTCTCAGAATCCCTCATTACCCCCACCGAAAGGGCTCCATTACCCCCAAAGGGGGCATGCCCCACCATTTGCCGACCCCTGTACTATATAATAGTTAGTATATTAGGATTATCACAATACTCTTAACCTTCCAGGCGGTGGGGGGGGGGGCATCTTTTTGCCCCCCCCCCCTCCCTTTAGTTTTTTCGATATATCTCGAGAACCGCTGCGCCGATCGTCACCAAACTCTCAGTACCCTCCCGGGAGTAGCTAGCGCACATGGTGACAAAAATTTTTCCAAAGGCTATGATAGGTTGGCCGCTAATGACGTCAGAGTGACGTCATTTCTGCCATTTTCGACCCAAAAAAAGGTTTCGCGGGAAGAGCTGTCAGGCCTACAGCTTTAGAGATACAGAAAAATGTTTCGGACATAAAAGGTGTGGAATCAAGAGGGCTACAAAAATGCTATTTCGGTTTTTCGATTTTTTTTTTGATTTTGACCCCCAAAATCCAAAAATAGATTTTTGAATATAATAGCCGAAAAATCCAAAAAGTTTTTTGAATTTCGAAAACCGGAATACATATGATAGTCCCTACCGCCTTCTATCTACATACCAAATTTGAGATCGATTCCTCTTTTTTTGGCCAAGTTATTGCGAAAAAACTGTTCAAAATTGATGACGTCAAATTTTCAAACTCAATTTTTAGCAATTCTAGACCTCGTAGCGCAAAAAAAGACCACCATTAGACTCCCCGTGACGAGCTGCATCGAATCGATACCCATTTTATGTAAAAATATCAACTTTGAAATTTGACCTTTTTTGACGTGACCTTGACCTGACCTCCACCAGAAAGTGACCTAAACCGTACCTGATGGTCTTACAACCAACACCATTGAGTTGGAAATGAAAAACTGGCCATTTAACATGCATCGCACAACCTTAGTAAAGTTGGGTTCATGTGGTGACCCTTGGTGACCTTTGGTGACCTGACCTGTGACCTGACCTGGTATGACCAGTGACCTCTAATAGCAACATATGTACTAGACAACTGATGCCCTATCGCTGATTTTCGACAAAATGCGTTTTACTCGGTGTTATAGCGCTTTCCCTAGAAGCCCCGTGAGCGGTGAAACATTTTATCTTTGACCTGACCTGTGACGTCATCGGTGACCCCGAGGTCAATGAAATTTGGTTTCCACTCAACAAATTAGACAGGGCTATCGAACGCCGTTTGAATTTTCCGGATCCGTCCAGTAGTTTCGGAGATACGGGGGGCCAAAAAATGCCCCCCCCCCCCACCGCGCGGAAGGTGGCCGGGAGGCCCACCGCCTGCCGAGTTATTAACCCTCGCCCGTATGGGGGGGGTCGAACGGACCCCCCATGGTTTTTCGCGAATAACTCGCGTAAAAAGCGGCCGATCGCGACGAAACTTTCAGTACCCTCGCGTTAATCAATTTTACACCTACCCTGAAAATTTCATGACCCTGACCCAAATGACCTTTGACCTGTGACCTACTTTTCGAGACCATGTCTGGCCAGAATCGCGATTCGGCGTATGTCGGCTCGCATTAGCGGCGCGTTTGCAGTCTTTTCGTGGTTTCAAGCGTTCAAACATGTGATATTGTGTTGCCCCCATGCATTAGAGTGGGTGTCAAGGTCACCTGAAGGTCAGGTCAGGTCATTGACCTTTGATGACCTCGGTTCACTTTTTTTAGTTTTACATGTTTCTAGGCCAGTTTTTGGAGCTGAATTCGAATTTAGCAACCATATAAACATTTACGAAGTAGTTTTGGTGCCTTCGTAACATGTTACGAAGCTGTCAGAGGCGGTTGACACCTACTAGGAATACCCGGTAGGACCCCTACTGGTTGACCTGACCTGACCTGACCCGACCTGGACTAAATGCATGAAGACATCATCTGTGATCAAAACTAACATGATAATCGTGATCAGCACCCCGAAAAAAACCCATAGCAGCCACACTTTACGACGTTCTAACAGGTCCCGATTTTCCCGACTTTTGGGTCATTGACCTGACCTGCAAGGTCAACCAATGACCTAGGACCTTAAAATTGGGTATCATCGGCTCATTCTCGTCACGGGCAACACGCTCGTTTTTTTCCGCGAAGCTCTAGCTCGATCAGGGGCGAAACGGCAAGGGGGGGTGCAACGGACCCCCCCCCCCTTATACGTTCGCGGCTGGAAAAACACCAATACGGGCGAGGGTTAAGCTTGTTTTTCCTAAAAATTTCCCTTAAAACATCGCTATCAGAGCTTCCCGGTAGCATCCGTGACGCGGTGTAGCATTCCGCACTCAAAAGTCAAAATCGTTATACAACGAGGGAAATATAAATTATGGTATATAATTATATCGCTGCGCAACAGCCAACACGGGCTGCCGGCATGTGGCTGGGCTATGCGGCACAGCATGCATCAGGCGCTCTCGTAAGTGCCATCTTGTGGAGAGAGCGAGAATTAACAAGCATCTGAGCCATGCGGTACAGCATGCGGCAGGCGCTCATGACAGTGCCATCTAGCGGAGAGAGCGGAAACTAACAAGCGTCCGACTGAGCCATGCGGTACAGCATGCGGCAGGCGCTCTCCTCAGAGCCATCTAGTGGAGATAGCGGAAACCAACAGGCTTCGACTGAGCCATGCGGTACAGCATGCAGCAGGCACTCTTATCAGAGCCATCTAGTGAAGAGATTGAAAACCAGCATGGATGCAAGTAAGCTATGCGGCACAGCATGCAGCAGGCGAGGCCAAGCAGCTATTGTGGAAAACGGAAACCTTGTGGGACGGTAGATTAGAGATTAATGGTGCAATGCATTTGCGCTTGAAAACGTCCAAAATAGGCGCGATGCTAATTGCTGCCTGCATTTTAACATCCGTGAAAGCGATGCCATTTTCACTCTGTCAGCCATATTAAAATCACTAAATTGGATCAGCTAAATCCACGGAATACTTGCGCATCAGTACAGGATATAGTTACATGTCTGAATGCCTTTCTCGTGTCGCTGACTCCGTCCTGAAACACTGACCAGTATACCCCAGTGACTATGGCTCACTTGTAGCAGATGTGCGGGAAGCGCAGGTCGAGGATGATGCCGTTGTAGACGGCCAGTCCCATCAGCACCCCGATCAGGTTATACTCTCTCAGCGAGCCCGAGTGGGTCGTCGAGAACCAGTAGCAGCGAGACTTGTTGTGGTACACGAACATCCCGTAGCTGGACTGGCGACAGAAGGGGCACGCACCGTGAGCTTCGACTGCAGGGGAAATCGTTTCCTATCCAGTGGGCATAAAACCGTTAATTCTCATTTTTTAAGATGGTCCGGTCGCCGGCTGCACATCCCATGTGACCCGGCAGTCGGCCGGCCGCCGCTAATCAACTGAACAAATATAGGACCGTACAAAGATAGTGTACAAAGATAAGACTGACTCCTACTGGAATTTATATTATTTTTATAATCTTCATTTTAGTGTTAATGTTTCAGCCAATCGCAGCCATCGCCCTACCGTACCGAACACAGATCTCGGACACTGTCGGGGCTATTACAGAACCCTGTTAGTCCCAGGCAGTTGTCCTGGCAGACTGCCAGTGCCTGGGCCCGTCCCCGCAAGGCGCCGGACCGCGTGACTTGGTGCGGTCCCCAGAGAGACATTCTGTGCCGCGGCGATATCAATGACTCGGTGTGCTAATTTCCGTAATTTACTGCCATTTCCTCCGGAATATTGCTGAACGTGGGAGTGAAAAATTGAATGGGCCAAACTATCGGATGCGCTTTGAGTACACTGGGCAGTAGGCATAGGTGGCAGAGTGTAGTCAGAACAGAATGCATAAACCTATCAAAGTACGAAAGTTTCAAATATTTCAGTAAATGTTTCTTCATAAGAGATTGTTCTGATATATGCATATTTTTCCATCACAACAACCGAGGACACTGTTCGATGGCGGACTTTGTCTTTTGGTTTTGTGGCCATGTGTCGACCCATTACAATAAAGTAAATAGTTTGTATACTCACGTCGAACACCTTACGAATGATGAGCATGAACCACTCCTTGGTGAGGCCGCCCATGTCGAGGCCCGGCTCGCCCGAGAAGGTGACCTTCAGCTTCTTCTTGAGGTCGCGCTGCTTGTTAGCGATCTGCCCGAGTGGAAACGGGAGGGTGATGGGAACGCTGTACGGATTCGTTTAGTGTGTGGTGTGTATTCTGAACGTAATGTGCACATCGATAACACGATATTCATTCACCGACAAGGTAAAATGTCTCATTGATAACTGAAAACCAGCAATATTTCCGTAGTGTCCACGATTTCAGATGAAATATTTTTGGCTGCATTGCATTGCCGATGTTAAGACCAAAATCTTACATTTTCATATAGCTAGCCAGTATAGCACGGACTGAAGGCATGGGAATGTCAGCGTATCGATAATTTATAAATGGGACGCACTGCCACACCTCTTTGAGCGAGTCCTCCAGGAGCCGCGATCTCCTGACGTGGATGTTGAGGAAGAAGACGTCGATCTGCGGTGGCTGGTGGCGCGACACCTTGGCCACGAGCGACCGGCGCGCCGTCAGAATCATCTGCTGCTCAGAGTCCTGCAGGGGAGGCGGGCACTCAGATTAGCTCCGCTCGGCGAATTCGTCACACGTTCGTTAAAGGTAGTGTGCCACCTTTGAAAGATTTCCCATTTTATTTTTCCTAGGATAAGAAGCTTCTGTTTTTACCTAATATCGCAAAAAAAATCAAAAATGGGCCTGGAATAGTGCCTTTTTCGCCTGAAAGTTTTTCGGTTTTTAGATATGTATAACAACTGTAGTGGGCTCACCTGCAAACAGGCGTCGGGCAACAATCGCGAATGCGGCGCACTTGTGACAATAAGCAAAGGTCATTATAGAGTTACGACCATACGACGTACGGGAATGAGTTATCAGCTGTCTAATCGTAGACAACACAATGTCGAGCCTTAAACTGTAAGCCCGTATTGGTATTGTTTCTTTTATTTGGCTGTCGAACATTATTTATGGTTTGAAATATGATTTTATGTAAAATAATTGATATGAAAAAGCCGTCTTATAAGTTATGACCCCATTTCACCACACGCAAGTGGCAGAAATGACAATGATCAGCTGACGCATTTTTCTTGGCCGAAGTCAGAGCGCGCGGCCCGACGCACCACGCGTATTTGGAAATTCCGACCTCGACGAGCATCAGAAGCCACCTAAAAGGCGTGTTCGAAACCGCAGGAGCTGATGATGAACGGGTTTATCGAAACTTGAATGGATGATCATATCGGTAATAGCGATTTCAGTGTGTGCATTTATTGTTCATAGTGGTGTGAAATGTGGTTGGGGTACGACCGACAACCCGTCGGGGCGAATTTCGCACTGGGGTACTCAAAATTTGAAGAATTTAAGACGTTTCCATGAGTTTTGAAGGTATGGATAAGTTCTAAAAATCCGGTTCTCCTTATCTGGGCCATTAACTCCATACGGTCCAAGAAAGCTGGCACACTACCTTTAAAGGGACTATCCCACCTTTAACATGGGGTTTGAGTTGAGATAGCCAAGTTTGCGGCGAGGTTCAGAAACCACTCTATCTAGGTTGCAACCCCCGCGGCCTCTTGGTGTTGAAGAAATTCGTTCCCTTCATTTGAAAATGGGCCTTGTGCAAGGCCCTATCTTCAACATGGAGCGACCATTAGTGTGACGTCACCTCGTTTAGTCATTCTGATTTAAATGGGTTTGTTCGTTGAAAAATCGCTTAAAACTTGGTCTGAACTTTGTTTTGGTGCCTACAGAGTAAAAAGAATCAGCTTTATGGCAGTAATGTGGCCTGGGGAAGGAGGTAATTTTGGGCTGTGACGTCACATATTTGAAAGTTTGTGTTTGGAATATGGGAAGCCTAAGATGTTTAATGAAAAATAAATGCTAGAACCGTGTTCCTGGTCATCCAATCTATAAAGTCGGGCACAATTTAACTGCTTTTAACAACATTTTAGAAGGTGGGATAGTCCCTTTAACCCGGCAGTTGCTGGGGTATTTCGCCACACACCGTTTGCTGGGGGGGGGGGGGCGTTAAACGCCCCCAGCCGATAACTCGAGAACCAATAGGCGCAGCGAAACGCACGAGGCGGCAAACGAAAGAACGCGACGAGACGCTTCAGATGAGTACTTTAAAATTGAATTTTGAGGTCACAGGTCGGGTCAAGGTCAGGTCAAACACCTGAAATCGGGCTTTCAGTAGCATGGACTTCAGGACTTCGCAATGGGCGCCTTTCGTCATAAACACTGTCTAAACGGTGCACAATCCATCATATAAGGCCTACAAGAGTGTCAGCTCCATGTAGGGGTCAGTCAAGCATAGGTCAGGGTCAAGGTCAGGTCAACCGGGTAGGCACATATCCCCGAAAATCAAAACTGATATTCGCCGCCTGTGACACATGTTTTATGGGTAATTTGGGGCGTAGAACACGATGGTGACATTCATTTTATCATATGTGTACGTGTTTGGCTCAAAAAGTTCAATTTAAGAAATGCGTGTATCATGGTCGTGAAGTAGTCACGAGAAATTGCCAAGATTCAGTTCACGATTTTGGAAAATGCGGAACGATAATCAATAATCGAAGATAGCCATTTGATTGTTCATGGTATTGGCAGTCTAATGGCGTTTACGGCATGCCTGTATGTCTATTTTGTGATTTTATATGATTTTTTGAACATATGCCGTTTTTGGTCGAAAACTCAGAAATCATGACGTCACTAAAACCTCGATATCTCAAAAATTTTCCGACCGATTTTTTTGAAACTTTGTCACAATAAACTTCAATCAATTCCCTACAGGTACCCAAAATTTGGCGCGCCTGCGGCGCGCCGTTTTTATGCTATGGCCCGGCGAAAAAAGTGGGGGCGTTTAACGCCCCCCCCCAGCAACTCGCGGGTTAAGGCATGCATGCCCCCTCTTACTTCTAGTGGCCCAAACGACCTTTCAGGATCTTCCAATGATCATTCGAAAGAAATATGAAATGAAAAGATAGTACATATTTACATCATCCTGTTTATCGCTTGCACGTCGCAGAGCATCTCAAAATATGTTAGAAATGAACAAACATTTGGAAGCTGTCATAGCTCCGGTTCCCCAGCAATACGCCTTTTTACGGTTAAATATAGATAAAGTGCACACAGTTCAGTAATAGTGCAACCGATTTCGACAGTTCGCCATAGGCATAGACAGACTATGCCGTACTGTCGAAATCGCCTGCACTATTACTGAAATGTGTGCACTGCCGCCTAAATTGGGCGTAAAAAGGTGTAGTTATTCAATCGATGATGGCTGATGCCTGAACGCACAGCGTAACATGGCCATATATTTGGGCTAGTTATTATCGCTTCGATTTATTGTTCATTGCGGTCAAGGTGTGACGTCACTCCTCGCGATGTGAACTTCAGATGACCCGTCGTTAATTCACTGCAGTGCTGCATCCGATCGGTAAAGCTGACGACCAATGCGTGATTCAATCAGTAGCGATTCCTCATTTAGCCACAGCATTACATCGTGAATGTGGATCGCTTCATCGTATTTTATCATCAGAAATTATTCTCGCCAAGAACCAGTTTTAGGTAGTACAAGTGGTCTATCAACATCGGCATTTGGTAACCGGTATGAACTGGTGTGGTACGCACGTGGCAGCAGATTGCCTGCAGGACGCTCATGAATAAGATAGAATCAAGTCAGGACCGTGATTGATCTGGATTTCGATTAAAGTTAGGTATGTGGCTACCTGGCGCGATAGGTTCAACATACGTGTACCTACACGCTCACTGGGGATATTTGTTTGTTTGTTTGTTTGTTTGTTTTTGTGCAACTTCTTCTGGCTTAAAAGGCCATTGCACGATGCAGAGCTATGGGATGATATGATATAGGGCGTAGACACTAGGCTTTGCGGGACAACGACAGTGAGCCGAGGCGGCAGAGACCGACCCGGTGAGATCGGATTGCCCCGATGGGACAGTTCAAACGCCGCTCATACGGTCACCCCGGAGAGGCTGCTAACGTGTCCTGGTGTGGACCCGACCTGAGACCTCAACTACTGGCTGTCTGGGGGGGGGGGGGGGGCGCCAGCCCGGAAAGGGAACGTGAGGGAATGCGGATGGCTTTGTCCTGACGATAGTGAGGATGGATGCCCGGAGGATAATTATATTGAATAGGTGCTCTTATATAGCTGTCAGCACGGCTGCTGAAACAACAGAAAAGGGTTCATTGTGCTTCATCTTAGGCACGATGCAAGATGCTATATGCAGTATGCTATATGCGATAAGAAAGATGCTAGGATTTCTTTACACATAGCAAAGCATTGACCGATATGTTACTGGAAATATGCTCGTCGTGTCTGAATGAAATTACAAACCGTTTACTATGTATAACGAGAGACCTATGCCTTTATGCATTCATCCTATGAAACAAAGACCAAAAGATGCAGGGTTGAACGCTCCGTTCTCACCTTTGTGAGGATGGTGCGCTTGGCCACGATGCTGAGTATGAACGGGTACTGGCAGTAAGAGAAGCGGTCGGGCCGGTCGGGCGTCTGCCAGTTGGCGTACTCCTGCATCAGGTCCACGTGGTCCAGCGCGTGGTTGTAGAACTCGGTGTACGAGATCAGCGCCGGACTGGCAGCGTTGTTGGCCGCGTCTGAGAACCGAACGAAGACACACGCTGAGTTTCACCTACCCACTACTGCTGGCAGTCACGCTATGTATCGTAGACGAAAGTTAAATGCTTGGGATGACTTTTCAGGCTTCAATTTGTACAATGTGATATTAGTGGAAGATAAAAGGGCATTAATTTTTTTTACCAGATTTTATTGATGTTCGTACACTGGCAATGTATATTGATTCTGTTACATCATGCCCATTACCCCATGTTCATGTTCGGACTCCTCTGTCGAGAAAAAAAAAATAACACTAGTCCTGCCTGCACCCAACGCGCCGCCATGCGAAATAACGATTTACTGGCGTGGTGAACATCGACGATCGCCGCGGAAAAGGTCAGCGTCGTCATTACAAAGACGACTGATCCAGTCGCCCGCCGTCACCGCCGCGGTCAATACCGGACTTCAGCGCGTAACCTTCAGGGCAATGGACTTAGCTGTGAAGTGACCAACGCGTACCCTCCAGCGCAGTGGCTTTGCTGTGATGTGACCGCATTCATCGAACGACCAACCCCGCCCCGTTTTTATGCGTCTGCGCGGTGACCTGACCCCGGCCTCCACTCACTGATGAGCGCCAGCACTTTGATGGCGGTGGGGATCCACCAGCGCGACTTGTTGAGCGGCGGCAGAGACGCGTCCGCCGGCGGGAACTGACGGATCGTGATGAACTGGATGATGTGCGAGACGATCATCTTCAGGCGCTTCGCCTCCAGACTGCCGCAGACACACAAAGAAGACAGGGTTTAATCTTCTACCGTCACACGGAGATAAATACAATAATACTGAAAATGAATTGAATCACATGTCTATTCAAAAATTGTTCGGTAGGTATAATGCGTGAATTATGTGCTAACTATATCACGTATGCCTAGTTATATGAGCCGATTCGGCTTCAAAAAGCTGGAGGCGGCAGGCCAATATTAATCCTCAGTTGACTGAGCCGGCACTTGTCGGTGTGAGCCGGCACTGAGTCGGTGCTGGGTCGGCACTAAGCCTCATCTCACCATCTGAACCAGCGCATCAGGATCTGGTGGTCGCCGTTGGAGAGCGTGGTCAGCTGCCTCAGCAGGTGCGCAAACACCGTGTACGAGCTCTGTGGCGCGAACAGCGGCGACTGCACCAGGATGAACAGCGCTCGCACCTCGTCCTTGTGAAACAGCCTGTCGACGGGGGTGGAAAACGTCGGGTCAGACAAATTATGAACACACGGTCATAAAAACTGCACGAACAGATCAATGGTATGATCCGAATACATTCCGAATGAGTTTAGAAAATGATTGCTTATTGCGATTCACGCCACACCGACACAACCAGGTTGTGAGTGCCTGAATACTGTAGATGCTAGGTAAGTACATAACTTACCTTCTCTTTTCTTGAAGAAGAGAGTTGATGATTGACTTGAGAACAGATTTCTGCACAATGGACGGCTGCCAGCACAAGAAACGGAAACGCTCGATCATGTGGAAAACTGAGGTGATTGAAATCATACCCATAATCAAACTTCAACAGAATCGTCCTTTCCATGTATTCAATCATCATTAACACGCGTTTCTTTACCGCTTGCACCTGGTCTTAGAATCATCAATGGTTAACGCCATGAGCGAGACATTTCATTCAGCTCCGGTTACGTGACACCTGCTCAGGCTGTCACACACGGACATTCGGCCCGATGCCTGGTGCCACCTGCCTCTGCCCAGACAGTATTCGGCGGTTGCGCGGAAACAGCTCCTGTTCGACACTCACCATCGACTGCAGGGCGTCATGGACGGCGTACAGAAACTCCATCTTCAGTTCGGGGCTGTCCACATTGGCCCCGTCCCGCTCTGGATCCTCCTGAAAACACCGACCGGTCGATGTGACATTCACTAAAGGGCGCCCTGGAGCTCAACTTCTGTCAGTTCGTGATGTGCGAAGGTCCACAAGTGGACCGCTCGGTCGCAGAGTGTCCGGGGATATTGGAACGGTGGTGATAGATGAAATGCTTATGTACATTGCAAGTACTGTGTCGTACAGTCTGTCTTAAAAGTACCGCGCAAAGTGACGGTGGATCCATCGAGCCTGACTGAGGAAGGGCCTGCTAAATCTGGGTCACCGAAGCAATTGACATCCTCGTCCATTCCCTAGGTCAATGGTCGGTGACTTTCAAATTAAAGCAGACCCTTTCTCGGTCTGGCTTGATGGATCCACCGCCACTTTGCGCGGTACTTTTAAGACAGACTGTACGTACAGCGACAGCCAGGCAAAGACAAACGATGGCTCGTATGTCAACCAGATGTTGACAGCGTAAAAGCGTCTTCGTGATAAACGCACATGGAAACACTTGTATACACTCAAAGAGGTAGAAGGAACGGTATCGGCTTTCATGTTTCATATCGGGGTTTCAATCCAATAAACCTTCCTAAAAAAAAAATATGGGAATAGGGATCCAATGCAATAGTTGGTAAGCATATCGAACTGTTCGCAGGCTATCACAGAGCTTGACTCATCCACCCACGCCTATCCTTCCGTTTCTGTTTGTGTGTATGTTCCGGTTCCGGCCGTGTGTGCGTGCGTGTGCGTCGCCGCGGGCTCTGGCGGCCTTGTCCAGGTGTTGATGTGTCCGGCGTGGCTCAGGAATGTGAGGTCAGGTGACTGACTGGGGCAGGGAGGGAGGGGTCGCCGGTCGATGGGTGCTATTGTCGGGTGGTGCCGCACTGCCGACCCTAATCGCCAGCTGACCGGTACTGGCGGCACCAGTCGGCCAACGTGACTCCGGAGCCTTCGATAGCCGTGGCAGTGGCACTGCAACATTTTTAGCTAACAATAGTTGATAGAAAGTAAATGCCTTCACATAATTATTTTTCGAACTTTTTTAAGTCGGTCAGAACTACAGGGGATTTAACATAATGTGCAGGATAAGCATTCGAGTCCAACGCTGCGAGCAGGAGCCATTGAGAAACTGCCGTCTCGCGTGGGTCGGCTGTGCCGCAGCTCTCCGGTGTCGTGCGGTGCAGTCTACCATTCCCCATCTGAGATACGACGACAGGCCGCCCGCACTCGCAGGTCTGACCACCTTGTCTCGTGTGCTCGCTGGTCGTACACAAGCGCTCATGCTCATCATCCTACACTGAATCACAGTCAGAAACTGAAATGAAATGTTCCGACCAGGATTTTACTTTACTGGTCGGCTTAGGACAGCAGTCGCTTGCTAATGGGTCAATAGCAAGTAAGGGCATTTCAAATCACAACATAATGCATACAGTACAATTTAAGTGAGGCGAAAAACGAGCCCTGTAAAGGACATACAGCTGACATAAGTGTTAGCGGAGTGCTGGTGGAGCAGTGAGGTGCCTGTGAGCTTATTGAGGTCAGCGACCAGACCCCGGGACGTCCGTCACACACGTCACACAGAGCAGGTCGATCGATCAGAGTTGGTCGGTATGTAGCCACTGAACCGTTGCGTAATCGTAATGCAGTTGATAACAGACTGACGAGGTAGTCATCTGAGGATATGTGTATCATTGGAACTCTGGGACAGAGTGCAATTAGGTCCATGAATAGGTACTTCGCCTTTAGGTCACCTGCACACCCTTATTGCTAAAAGCCTTTTAACTATAGCTCCCAAGTCCAGCGCGGCACATGACAAAGTAGCATTGATGCTCTATTTACGCAGCAGATATTCGCAGTCGCACTGACCTTGAAAGCGGCACAAATGTCGGCGAAACTTTCGAAGATAGTCCGCAGGTAGACGGATATGTCGGCGTAATTGTCGCTTTCCCGAGCCTTCTGCACGTCCGTCCTGCAGAGATGCAGTGGGATATTGTGAGGGACATGGGTCATTCGCCACAACGATCATCCTGAGTTACATGCCATGGTGATGGTTCTAGAGGGAAAGACATAAATGAGAAGGAGAAGAAAAGACAATGATGAAAATCATTCACCAGCGTCCATTTACTTTTGTTATAATGTGTCTACTCAATGATTGATAATTTATCGTTATGAATACAAGTTTTAGAACTTTACCATCCATTATGCACTCTAAACTCTGTCCCCTACCTATGATATAGCATTGGTCTGACTCTGGTCATTGGTCAGAGCATTCATGTTCAATGTTTATGCCTCCAAAAGCACTGTAACGTCACGCTGGTTCACTTGGCTACGAAAAGCCCGCGGTCGATATGCACAAGTATGCACACACAAACAAAAAACAGGAATGGCCATAAGTGCAGGTAACAGCGGAACGTGGTCATAGCCAGGCATACTTTTATCGATCGTTAGCCAGGAGGCCCTGTCTAAGTGACAGCTCAAAGCGTTAGTCAGCAATGGCTGCTCGGAATGCGTTACTAAGTAATCTGTAACGCTATAGTGCTACTTATATTATCTTCCGAGATTACGATAATGACTCTCGTAAGAGACTATCCAGATCTTGTATCCATAGATAATAGTAAGCGTATTGTATCCAAAATTATTTGGATACAATACGCTTACCAAAATTTTAGATTTTGTATCCAAAATTAAGAAAACCTGAGCTGAGAATGTAAATGCACAAGTTGTTAATTCATTCTTGTCAGCTCAAACATTTGTCATTTGGATCCACGACCCGGCAACAGAGCAGTGAAAGTTCTTTGCCATGTGGTTCATGGGCCGATTCCACGTCGGTTTTCATGTGCAACAATGAGGCTCGACGGATCCAGGTGAGAGTCTGTTCAGTTCTGTTACTTCTGTTGCCAGGTCGCTGGGTATGGGCGCGTGGCTACGGCTCAGACCTATCCTTTGTCGGCGTGTGCACTGTCGGCCGGGGGCAGCTGACAGTGGTTACACCCGGTTTGACGGGACCCGCGCGAATGGCGGCATGGGTGACCGCCGGGTGCACCGGCACCGGCGGTTGGTTCTCGTATCCACCTCGCCTTGAACGGACAGGCACGGCACCTGACCTGGCCATTGGCGGCGCCGCCGCGCCGGGCTGAACCGGGTGGCACCGAAAAGACAGGCCCCACAGCACCCTGAATGGTGCTACATCACCTATTACACGGGTGCCGCTGCACCGATCGACGGCTTGGCACTGCACCAACGGTGGCGGACAGGGTAAATGGCCTTTGAATGTAAGACGGAAAACTTATAGGTCGTGCAAAGGCGAAATATTGAAGGGTGTTGCTTTTCACTTGGATGTGTCAGCATGCCTACACGAGGCTATCAACAGGCTTAGATGCTAATATGGCTGAGGAAATTTGACGTCAGTAATGGAGAAACGTGATGGGGTTACACGATTATAATGATAATTAGATGAACCGCTGTTAACCCTATTAGTGGCAGGGGGGGTTATTTTTATCCACCCCTCAGGTTTTTCGGGAATATCTCCGAAACCGCTGAAGCTACGATGCTGAAATTTTCTGACTTTTCCTAAAACTAAATTGGGCACATTCCCTGAAAATTTCAAGTTCATAACTTTACCAGGGGCGGCTCCAGAGCACTTGGAATTGGGGGTCCTATTCGTGAAGCGAGTCATTTGGGCGAAGATCACGATGCTGCACCAGTTTTACGAACAGTGAATGAAAAATATCATGTGATAACATATACAAAGTTATTGTGCATCCTCTTTTGACACGTTTTTGCTATAATAGGCGGGTCCAGGCGTCCAAAAAGGGGGGTTATGTTTTACCTCCCAACATAGGTGCCCTGACACCGCCTATGCATGACCAATACAATTGTAGTCGTTCTCTCATAAGAAAATTGTAACATAACAAGACCATTACCACCCTTTTTAGAAACAGTACCAACAAAAACCTTATTTACTATACTTTTTGTGTACCCCCAATCTCAATGATCTGTATCCGCCTATGATTTTTGAAAATGCATATTTTTAGGATCCATGTGAATTCCTGGTTCATTCTCTATCGATCGGCAAAAGTTGCGTTAAGATTGGTTCAGAAACCTGGCCGTGATAAACAGTCTAAAATGTATCTGCAATTTGCACGTTTTTACCCCCTCTACCCCCCCCCCCTATTGACATTTTTTAATTTTTATTTGTTAGAAATGTAGATCACGTTGAGCGAAATCGAATGCCGTTTGAATTTTGAAAATCGGCCCGTTAGATCTCGAGATATCAAGGGGGGGTCGTAAACAGCCCCCCCCTGCCACTAATAGGGGTAGCCAGGAGCCTGCCACTAATAGGGTTAAGGGGTTGTCATCCATCTTTATTGATGATGATGATGGGTTGGGTAGCTGGACATCTGGAATGTGGAGGCCATGGGCGCTCATCTATTTTCATATGTATTTACTATTGTCTATCTATTCAGTATCTGTTTCCATTCTCCACTTATCACAAATATTTGGACAAGAGTGGTTATGACTCTTGTTATTTTTTTAATTTCTCGTTTCGTCTTCCGCTTTCACGCACAAAAACCGTTTTCGGATCGTACCTCTGAAAAATTAATAAAACACGTTCTCTTCCAGGAGGCTCTCGCAGTACCCCCTTCCTTCTTCGGCAGCACTCATACACAGAGACTCCCAGTTCCCGATGGACACCAATAAGAGCCCTTATCTCAAATCCTCAGTAAAGATCTCCTTTCCACCAGGGCCTCCTCTAAGGAATTTTCACTGGGGGGGAGGGGGGCAGAGGCTCAGAAGCCAAACCTAGGGTACCCCCAAATCCGGTTTTCTCATCGGATTTAGGCCACTTATTTTTTTTGTCACAGCCCTGATGCCATGATTTTTATTTTTATTTTGAGAAAAAAAAATAGTAGGCCACTTGACCCTATACCGGTGGATCCAGACCGGCACGGACAGGGTGACATTTGGGGTAAATATCCCCCGCAGCGTCCGAAATCGACGAAAGCTTTCGGCTTTCCGAAAATGAAACAAAATGCCTTTATCAAAAAAGCATAAAACGGCACAGCAGTGCGTAAGGAATCTAACCGACCGCAGAAAATGTGAGGGCTTAGGCATCAATTTCCCAAACGCTGGAAACCAACAGCTACCTGCCTGAAAACAGCTCACCATCCTAAAAAGCTACTTGCCTGAAAACGACTCAAGAAACAGGCCACAGGTCAATGAGAATGAGGGTCAGGGAACAGGGTAATTACATTTTCAGGAAATGTGTAGAATTGAAGTAATCACGGGAGTACCTACCTACTAAAACTTTTGCCACGCCGGGCCAATTTTTATGCGAGTTATTCATAAAAAAGTAGGGGTGGGGTCTATTAACCCCTCAATAAGTGAGAGGGCTTATCGCTGCTGGTCCCAAACACTGGAAAAAAAGACTTTTATATGGTGCTCTAAAGCTCAGCTGCACTCTTCTTTGACCGTAAAAAATTTACTCTTAAAGAATAAGCCCGTCTCCCGAAAAAGAAAACATAATACTTCTCCGTGTTGAGCCGTAAGCGCTTGACTGATTGATACTATAGAGGGCGACCGTTAGGGCTGTTTCCTTCTCAAAGTGATGTCCCATTCGGGCTTCAGTCGGCGTTCGATTATAAAATCTGCAATGTCTGACCTCATTCCGCAGCTCTAGGCGGATCTGTAAAAAAACCTGTATATAAGAAACCAACGATATAAAGAAACTAAAATTAGTAACGTGGTGATCGTGGAGATAGTCTGGATTGTTTGTTTGGTAAGCTTACAGTGCAATTTCCTCGTTTTTCTACGTGATTTGCTTAACTGCGTGCCCCCCAGTGACGCGATTTCAGCTCCACTGGGGGGCCAGCGGCATCACTGGGGGGGGGGGGCGCCCCCCCAGTTAACATGTTAGATGAGGCCCTGCTTTCCACTCCCCTCCCCTGCCCCCCCCCCCTTCTGAGCGGCACTCACAGGAACTCCTCGCGGCGCTTCTGGTGAACCGGGTAGACTGGTCGGCGCAGGCTCTGGCTGCCTGTTGACGAGCTGAGCAGCGACTCGATGCTGCGCGACGAGCGGATCGAGTTGGCCGTGCTGAGACGGCTGCTGGAGGTGCGCGGCGGGGTGGTCGGCTGAAAAGGGGTACCATACACTCAGCGGGGCGCCGCTGGGGGCGGCACAAACTCAGCAGGATGCAGCTGGTGGGCGGCACAAACTCAGCAGGGTGCAGCTGGTGGCAGCAGAGACTCAGCTTGATAGGTATACTCAGTCTGTAGCCAGACCTGACAGGACGATGTGGATATTTTGAATACTCTTGCCAGACTTAGATCTTAGTTGCGAATCAAACAGTTCACCCTTCGTCTAGAAAGGGTGTATAACAGAGAAGGACTTACAATGGGCGATGATGCGGGGTGTATAACCTTATACACATTAAGCGGCAATGCAAGCGTAGAAACGGACTTGCTAATGGAAGGCAGTGCGGGTTTCAAGAGCGACTCACAATGGGCGGCAGAGCGGGTTGTAGAAACTTAAATCAGCATATAATGGGCGGCAGTGTGGGATCCTAGAGACTTGTAATGGGCAGCGGTGCGGAGTGTGCGGAGCGACTTTGAAGACATGGTGATAGTGTCAGGAGCGACTTTGACTGGTCGGTGGTGCAGAGACAACATAACAATGGGCGGCAGCGCCGAAGAAGGTAGAGAGCGACTTACAATGGGCGGCAGTACGGGAATGTAGCGCGCGACTTAGAATGGGCGGCAGCACAAGACTGTAGAGAGCGACTTTATAATGCGCGGCAGTGCGAGATTGTGATGAGCGGCTTACAATGGGCGGCAGTGATGATGCAAAGAGCGACTTACAATGGGTGGCAGTGCGGGGATGTAGATGAGCGGCTTACAATGGGCGGCAGTGATGATGCAAAGAGCGACTTAGAACGAATGGCAGTGCGGGGATGTAGATGAGCGGCTTTTAATGGGCGACAGTGATGATGTAAAGAGCGACTTACAATGGGTGGCAGTGCGGGGGTGTAGATGACACTGGCCATGGCCAGCGGTGACAGGTTGACGCCGAGGTGGGAGAGCAGGGCAGCGCTGATGGCCGTGGGGCCGCGCCCCACCTGCGCCTGTTGACAGCGGCACACGCGCACACGCACACGCACGTGCAGTCACACGCAGGCAACGTATCTGCTCTATACGTCCTTTGGCAGGCGGTCCACGATTAGCTACCATTGACTAATTGGAAAATAAATAGTTTTGCTGCGCTATTTTTGCAATAGCGTAAAGCCATAAACGTTTTAGATTTAAATCACTTTCACAGCGTTTACTTAGAGTCGATTTGGTCTTCACGGAATTAATGAAACCGTTTCGATCTCTCACAGCATCTCAATTTAAAAGGTAAAGGGCTCATTTTTTTATATAAAAACATTAATTTTACCCGAAGGATGACCATCACGGTACTGTTGTTGACTGTGCAGTGTGCAAAGCCATTCTTCCCTGTCCTTCTTAATTGCGGATCTTATTTGCATCATCAAATGGGCGGATATGTGTATTACAGAACGCTTATCTGGACAATGTTACAAAATTCACGGAGGTTGACATGAAAGCATGTGGTGAATTGTGAAAAGCTTTCGGTGGCGAAAGCTCCGTTAGAACTCTCTCACCGACTGTGTTTAGGCATCAGTTTGTCAGCTATCATTCTATTAAGCCGTAAGCTAGGATTAGCATCAAAAGCCGAGACACAAAATAAACACAGGAGGCGCTAATTCCTGGCTAAGTAAAGCCATTTACAGGCTGACAGTCACATCAAGCACACGGCACACGCTGCAAGTTGTGCCGGTGTGTTGGGGGCCGTCCCTCAGACCGGCTCGACGCGCGGTCAGACATCCCAGCGGGCACACCAGCGGAGCTACTCACGATGAGGGGGAGCGAAACGCCGCCGTTCTGGGGCCGTCGGAGAGCGACATTGGCGTTGGCCTCGGCGTTGTAGAAGTTACCGCAGTACTGACAAATCTGGCGCACCCGGGCGCCCGTCACCGGCACCGTAACTGGAACAGTGGAGGGGCACATGGAGACGGGTGTCACCGACTCCTCCTGGGACGCACGGAAGATGTCACAATAGCCAATCGTCATGCCTCCGTGGTTTTACCCAAAGAACATCGGTACTTTCTGCGTATTTATCATGGTGAAAAGTGATGTTGAAAGTAAACGGTAAGTACATTTTCTAAACACAAATTTAGCTCGAAATTCGAATGTTTAATTGGACGGATTGACAGAGCCGGAGCTTACGCTAAGAAAGCTTGTTAGGTAGACCCCGACCCCTACCGTCCGATCGCGCAATGCCGGGCAACGGGAGAATTTAGATGCTAAAGTTTAACGTGCCCTTCAAAGCCGGACCAAGGCCATCTATAGCCGGACACGGCCTGTCCCACTCAACTGACTTCAACTGGCTGCGGCTGCTCCCACCAACCGCAGACCATCCCCGTCAGGAGTCTCAAATATCGAGTGCCGGAGCGACTCGAACCCGGGCTGCCACTACCGGGAGTCCAACGCTCTACCAACTGAGCTAAGGGACATGCTACAAAGTTCATGAGCACACAACAATTGAATTAATCCCAGGAATAAACGCATATGAGATGCATGAGCATTGCGCATGTTGCAAAAGAGAGCGACGCTCGACAGTCCGCGCCGGTCGAGGGCAGCTGTGCGCTGGTCCCGGTTTACCTTTGCAGGATGGGCAGGTGAGGCTGTCTGGCAGAGGTCGGGACAGCGGTTCCATTACAGGCTCCACCTCCCGCTCCGCTACCTGAAACGGCAGAGTCGACGGCGAGTCATGTGACGCGATCCACTTCCTGAAACGACACCTGAATAACATGGCACACTCCGCTTACCATGGAACTGCAGTCGACGAGTCAACTGACCTGACACGTCTGCAATCGTTTTGCAGCACATTCGCCATCCTTCAAATTTACACACAGTGCTTTTCAGCTGATAACATGCCAATCCATGCGGGTTAAACAGCTATAGTTTCGTCACTTGCGCTTGCTGTGGAAGGGACAAATATGGAATATGTCCCTTTCTTTCGATCCGTCAGTGATCAATTGGTCTAAAACAGGGGTCGGCAAATGGTGGGGCATGCCCCCTTTGGGGGTAATGGCGCCCTTCGGCGGGGGGTAATGAGGGCCTCTGAGAAAGCCTCATCTTTTTTAGAATTAATAGCTCCCTTGATGGGACAAACATCGCAACTGTTGTGCCCCAGGATTCAAAGATTAGTCGAGGTCAAACGCACAAAGCATGAACTGATTAGCTGGCGCATGCCAATTTTCATGTAGCTGCTCACCATTCCGTACAGTCGTGGAAAGTAACTGTCATGTACCTACTAGCCGGCGCTCGTCTCACATTGGCGTTTTCACAGTCACTAACGCGAGGGAGAGGAGTCGTCCATTACACCCTGACCTGAGCGTCTCGGTCTCTGAGCTGGAGCTTTGCAGAAAAATTGAGCGTGTTGCCCGTGAAGATAAGCAGCCGCTGCTACCCAATTTAAAGGTCGTTGGTCATTGGGTGACCTCCCATAGGTCAATAACAACTGCCGAGTTAATCGGGTCCTGCTGTAACTTCTTGAAGTGAGATTTTGTGGCCTGCCATGATCCCAAGAAAATCTCACAAATCAACGGTTATTTGGGTTAAGGTCATGCCATTTTCAGGACAGATAAAAATGATCGGCTCGATGGTACAGTTTTTTTCGTGATCCGACCCTTTTAACGTGATCTATTCTCGAAAAATACCCGCTACCCATATACGTATGGGGGTTAACCCGCGCCCTGCTGGGGCTCCTGGATTTCCACGCCCTGCTGGAGATGGAGGTAGAACACCCCCTATTAACTTGGCTCCTGGGTCACTAGCGAAACGCCGTAGTCGGCGATCGAAAGAGCGTAAGAAATGATGAAGAAAAAACTATGGTCACCTTTTAGGTCAAATCAAAGGTCAGGTCACCAGAGGTCATCGAACGTAAAATTTCGCCAATTTCCAGGTCAACCTTTGACAATTTTCGACAAACTGGCCTATAGCTCAGGAAAGGATAGAGCTACAGCGCTGCGGAAAAACGCATTCGATAGCTCTCTTAACGTTTTTTCTGATGCCTGCCCTCAGATTCAACCGAAGGTGGTTTAGCCTGCAGGAGACAAAAGCTACCAAAATGTACGATGCTTGCTGATAGTTTTTCTTAAATAACTTTTCACTCAAAACTTGCAAGAGCTCACTTTTATCAGCATCGTGATCCTCCCGTCGAGAAGCATCGAATGTTTTGTTGCAAATCAGTCGATCCGTATCGTCGAGCTGAACACTTATAAGGCATTTTCATCGCTCTGGGATGCCTTTATCAAAAGTTATTAGCGAATAGCTGTTAGATACCATTCATGACCTGAAATGACCTCAGGGACATACAGCGGGGTTACGGGTGCAATTTTCCGGTTCAGCGGTCATGTTTACTTGTAAATAAGAGTGTCACAGTGTTAGGAATGACACTGGTCCAAAAGAGGCGCCTTTCAATTTTGTACCATTGACTTTGCGCCCTCTCCCATTTATAATGGGAGAGGGCGTGAAATTGACCTGAACTTTGGTCACCGACATCAAATCTCCGAGATACAAATTTTGTACATGTTGTTGCCTTTATCAATTCCTGAAAGTTTGAAAGAGATCTGTCACTCAATGCAGCTAAAGTAGGCGTTGCAGTCTTTACTGAGGTGAGGTCACTTGACGTGATCGATCTGGTGACCTGACTTTGAGTGACTCTGGTCTGAAATATTCACAACATGTGCAGAAACGATGTATGATAAAATGTTCCAAAATGGTGGCGCTCCGTGCCAACGTTTTTGAGATATTTGCGAGAAAACCGCAGGGGAGGGGCCTGCGGTTTCTCGCAGATATGGTACCTACCCAAAGAGTCACGGAAAAGTATGGAATTTCAGTAACATTGGTTGTATCACCAATGGTGTCTGGTAGGGTGGGGTAATGGCCCTGCCTGGCGCCAAAAAAGGGGGCACGACCCTGGAGGACCTGCCGACCACTGGTCTAAAACATAATGTTTGGACAACGGTGGTCTTCTCTCCTTATCCAGGTATTGACCGTAATAAACTCACGAACATCCCAGAACAACACATTTAGACAACCCGACCTGATTATAGCAAAAAAAAAACTTAAGTTTGTAAGTTGTAACTACCGATAGAACAAAACGTCAAGCACTGCCAAACTGAACCGATTAGGCTCTGCACATGTCTGCACGTCACACTTATCGATTGCAATTAGTAAAGTGACCCAGGTCTCATCGAGAAAAGGCGATTGCGTGGAAATGCATGGGCCAGCCACACGACATCTTTTATTTATTTATTTATTTCACATCATCAGGTATTTCCACACAAAATGGGCTATTCCAATACCCTCGTCATACAATGTAACACCGCACGGTATAAAAAAAGCAAGTTATAAAGATAGATTAAAAAACACACACACACACACATCTTCATGAGAACAAAATCGCGGACACTTAAAATAAACTAACTATAAACGAAAAAAAAATCACGATGCATCAGCCAACATTTTGCGAATGTGGCGCTTAAAGGTAGTGTGCCACCTTTGAAAGATTTCCCATTTTATTTTTCCTAGGATAAGAAGCTTCTGTTTTTACCTAATATCGCAAAAAAAAAATCAAAAATGGACCTGGAATAGTGCCTTTTTCGCCTAAAAGTTTATCGGTTTTTCGATATGCATAACAACTGTAGTGGGCTGACTTGCAAACAGGCGTCGGCAACAATCGCGAATGCGGCGCACATGTGACAATAAGCAAAGGTCATTATAGAGTTACGACGTACGGGAATGAGTTATCAGCTGTCTAATCGTAGACAACACAATGTCGAGCCTTAAACTGTAAGCCTGTATTGGTATTGTTTCTTTTATTTGGCTGTCGAACATTATTTATGGTTTGAAATATGATTTTATGTAAAATAATTGATAGGAAAAAGCCGTCTCTTAAGTTATGACCCCATTTCACCACACGCAAGTGGCAGAAATGACAATGATCAGCTGACGCATTTTTCTTGGCCGAAGTCAGAGCGCGCGGCCCGACGCACCACCACCGCACCACAAGGTATGAGCAGAAGCCGCGCCCAAAGCCAGGGCCCCGGTAACGTGAGGTAGCCGAGTCGGGGCAGCGTGCGCTGACCCAAGCCGGGGCCGCAGCTTTGGGCGCGGTCTACCGCATCCCCGCGGGCAGCCCCGGGCTATCACATGACACCGGGAGGACGCGCGGCCCCGGCTTGGGTCAGCGCACGCTGCCCCGACTCGGCTACCTCACGTTACCGGGGCCCTGGCTTTGGGCGCGGTCTACCGCACCACCTAACAGGCGTGTTCGAAACCGCAGGAGATGATGATGAACGGGTTTATCGAAACTTGATTGGATGAGCATATCGGTAATAGCGATTTCAGTGTGTGCATTTATTGTTCATAGTGGTGTGAAATGTGGTTGGGGTACGACCGACAACCCGTCGTCGGGGCGAATTTCGCACTGGGGTACCGTAAGGTGGGGCTATTTGAGACAGTGGGGCTATTTGAGACAGTATTTAAAATTGCTATAACATAAAAACCACCTTAAATTTATGCTTACTTTTTTGCTCAGGCGATTAACTGCTTGATTCCACACCTCCCTGAGCAAAAATATCACACAGAAATCAAACGATCTTCATTTTATAGCGATTTTAAATACTGTCTCAAATAGCCCCACTGTCTCAAATAGCCCCACTTTACGGTACTCAAAATTTGAAGAATTTAAGACGTTTCCATGAGTTTTGAAGGTATGGATAAGTTCTAAAAATCCGGTTCTCCTTATCTGGGCCATTAACTCCATACGGTCCAGGAAAGCTGGCACACTACCTTTAAAAGAAGTCATGCTAAGGTGGTTCACATGATGATCTATGGCGAATGTGTTATACAATTTGGATGCACGATAGATGAATGTACGTTTTCCATGGTTGTTGCGGGGGCAAGTGGTTGAAATATGATCCGACTGCCGTGTTCTTCGAGAGATTGATTCATGATTAAACAACGTGCTTCACGCAATCCTATTGGTACGTCCAGCGATAAAATTTTATGAATCATGCACATGTCAAAATAGTCAACTAGCTTTGGAACAGTGAGCCAACCTAAGTCTGAAATGACATCCGAAACATGGTCGTATTTCCGTCGACCGGAAATAACTCGTGCTGCGAAGTTGACTATTTTTTGTAGTTCGGTCAGTACATTTTTGCCACAGCTACCATACACCTGCGCACAGTATCGAATGTGAGAAAGTACAAGAGAATCGACGATACGAGGTAGAACAGAAGCCGGTAGAGTATGTTTAACGTGCGAGATTCCAATGAGAATGCCAAAACATTTGTTAACAACATGTTGCACGTGGCGCTCCCATGACAGGTTTGGGTCTATTATCACACCTAAGTTCCTCACGCTCTCGGTAGACATCACCACTTCACCCATGAATGACACTTTTGGAACTTCATCTAACTGGACTAATTGCCGTCTGTCACCGAAAACCATCAGTTCCGTTTTACTAGGATTAACCATCATACCGTTTTGCATAAACCAGTTACTCAAGATACCTAAAACGTCTTCCATAGCACACTGCATTTCCCGAATTTTGTGTCTCGACCCGGTTAGTGCTAGCTGAGTATCATCCGCATACCTGATTAAAGTTACTCGGAAACCGTTCACAGAGGACGGAATGTGACATGCGATGTCATTGCTTAGAATATTAAACAATAAACTTCCTAACGTTGAGCCCTGGAAGCATCGGTAAGCACCGATATCGGTAAGGGTTCTGATAATTCGTCGCCGATCCTTACCCTCTGAGTATGTCCCTCGAGGTAGCTCTTGAACCACCCTGTCCTAATCTGTTAGAGACTCAATTTTTCAAGAATAGTACTATGATCGACCACATCAAAACACCGACTTAAATCTAAAAGAGCTAGCAATGAAATTTCCGAATTGTCCATACCTTTCAAAATTTCGTCAGTCATTGATACGAGTGCCGTTGCCGTGGAATGATTCGCCATAAAGCCATGCTGATCGATGGTGAATAAATGTTGCTGGGTCAGATAACTAGTCACCTGGGTGTGAACTACTTTTTCAATGATCTTACAAATGACACTCACAATGGTTATGGGTCTAAAATTCGCCGCTTCCGAGGGGTCATTTCTTTTGTGCAAGGGTAGCACCTCTGCCTTCTTCCATCCATCTGGTACAGTTTCCGTCACTATGTTAATTACTATGTTAATTAATTACATCTGTTAATTACTACGCCATTTATGCGCACCTTTTGCGTCATTTCGTACGATGATGTAGTTATTCACGCACAGTTAAAAGGCGACGCCAGATATAACTGTGTACTGTGTAGGTGCATCCAGTGGTGGGCACTCGTAACTTGACCCGGACTTCGATAATGATAATTCGATAACCTTTTTCGAGGTCAGCGACTTCGATAACGATAATTCGATAACCTTTTTCGAGTTCAGCGACTTCGATAGCGATTATTCGGTAATACAATCGGTCACTTCGATAACGCGATAATGATAACGATAACTTCAAAAAAGAAATAAATCGAAAGGATGAAATATTTGAAAGGAATAAGCTTCTAATTAATGTTTAACACATTCGCTCATACAACACCATTATTACCTACCCAGCTGCTTACACAAAAAGGAAGGCTTAGGACAGTAAAAATGTTAATATTTTCTCGTATAAACAAACAAACAAACGTACAAGCAAAAATTTGAATATATTTGGCGACAGAGGTTGTTGGGCTGAAAGACATAAAAAACACACATTTCTCAGTGCTCAATCTACGAAACTGCTATCACAGTTCAAAACCCCATTCAAAACCCAATGTTGAGGGTGAACTTTGGTACGCTCGCGTCGTATTTAATGAAGTTATCGTTATCGATTGGCCGAAACGGGGACTTCGATATCGCTACTCCGATAACGATAATCATTAACGATAAACTTGAAAACGTTATCGTCTATAACGACTTTGATAATCGTTATTGATGGGAGTTATCGAAATGCCTTTCACTGGTGCATACCTCCTGAAATTCCATGAAACCTTTATTATAGCAATCCAAAGCCAAACAGTCGAGACGGTCACTTTGTTACTAGTTAGAGAAAGAACCATGAGTGTCGAACAACTCGCAATATGTAAATGGTGAACTTATGTTGCTTTTTATATGCCACATAAGTTATTCACCAAAAACGGACCCGTATCTTAGGGCATTTGACCTGACCTCAGAGGTCACCGGGTGACCTAGGACCTTAAAATCGGGTATGGTATCAGGTCAACCGGTGACCTCTGAGGTCAGGTTAAGTGTCACTTAACCTGACCTCAGAGGTCACCGGCTGACCTGATACCATAAACTGGGGTATGTAACCAGCCGCTGCGTCTCGTAACGGCGCACACGCTCGTTTTCTTTTTTTTGTACGAGCCCCTAGCTCAATTAGGGGGCGTAACGGCGAGGGGTCGTAACTCCCCCCCCCCCTCCTTCGGTCGGGGCGCATATAGAAAACTAATATGCTCAGCGATGGTTTATTTGCGTAGAATAACCCTTAGGTGCAGAGAGAGAATGACATAAGAGTAATGAGTATAACAACCATCGACAATGCAGTTTGAATTTGAAAAGTAAGCGGCAAAGCAGACGCTTGCAGGTTTTCGGTACGCTTGCAGTAGAAAGTATCACCTTTTGGATGCCTTTTCAGATTACGTCCAAGATCAACCGATGATGAATACGGTATGATCAGGGAAAGCAAGACGGGTACTGGGAAGCTTTACAGAGGAAACATTAACAAACCAATGCGATCCAGCAGAGTGCGGCGCCAAGGGAGCGTTCCATATGGGCCGCCCGCCGGTCCCGGCCCCGGTGTCCGTTCCTCCACTCACCGGCACGCCCGGACTCGCATCTGGCGCGGCTGGCGGCGGCGGCTCCAGGCAGACAGTGACGAGCTCCGGACGGCGGCGCAGCCGCTCCCACAGCCGGCTCATGCGGCGCGCGGTGGCGGGCGGCCGGCCCGGCGCGCGCGACTGGCGCGCCGCCCACCGCCGAACATCGACCGGCACCCGTCTCTGTGGCAACGGCCGGCACACACCGGACTCACCGCCCGGCACGACTGCATTATGAATCGGAGCCACGGCCGACCCACAGCGCGCCGCCGTCTGCCGGCCGTCCCCGCCCTGACCCGACCCGGTCAGGACCGGTCACACTGCCCCGTCCGAGCGACACCCTCCGGTCCCACCCGGTCCCACCCAGATCACAACCCCAACAACCCGGAGACACGGCAGAGTGCGCTGTTGTACTGTATTGAATGCGCTTACAGATGCCCAAAACGGCAGAGGCCGCGATCCCCAGAGGTTCCTAAGGACGCCTCTTCCACCAGTGACCCCGCCACCGTCCGGTGCCGGGACGCCCCGACCCTCGCCTCGCCCCCTACAGTTTACGACCGGTACCAGCGCAAAGCCAAACAGGGCTGGCACAAACACAGGAATGTTCAGCCGCGCAGGCATACAGTGCTCAACTAACCAGTGCAGCGGATGTGCCATTTTCCCAACGCATTCAACAGAACAATCCACTCGAAAAGCCAACAAGCCAGCGACACGTACACAAACAAAAAGTATCAGACACGATTGAAAATAGCGTTCAGCACTGACCTCAAATTTAACAACTGACCACTCACGCACGAACCAAACCTTGAGCAACGTGATGGAAATAAAAACGATCGTGTCGAGATTACGCTACCGTGAAGCCATGTTCGTTGCAACGCTGAGGGTGAGACGAGACGAAAGACAACAAGGCTGCGCCCACCCCCCCGTCTACCGCCGAAATCCAGCCGCTGCTGCAGCTCTCGAGTCGCCCGAGATCGCACCCTGTCTCGGCGAGTCGGGACGGACCTCGAGTCGAGCGATGCCACTGCCACCTAGTGAGCGTCGGCGTTAGTCCTTCTTCTGCGCCTTGCGGCGGAGGGCGCGGCTGCGCACCCCCAGCATCCGCTCGTAATAGTAGTTGACCATGACAGATTCGGGCAGGTTACGGTTGCCGAAGCCAGCCGCCATGCCCTGGAAACAGTGGCACAGGTCAGGGGCCGTCCGTCAACGCAACTTTATGTTCAGCGGGCACAATAATCATACATGGAAATCAGTCCTGGATCAACTCTGTGAGCCATGCTGGAGTCAACTTGATTGAGGTGACGTGACAGCGAACTATTTATAGGACAAAAAAAGTACAGACGAAAATCAAAATAATGACCAAAACAGCTCCACATTGTTTTAAAAACACATTGGTCTCAGTTGCTCTACTCTAAGACATAAACACTTAACCCGCGACCGCCTGGGGGGGGGGGTCGGATCCGACCCCCCCCCCCCTCGGTTTTTCTTGAATAACTCATGAACCGCTTGAGCTATCAACTTAAAACTTTGCATACCTTCTCCCCCATCAATTTGACGTCTCCTGTGCAATTTTTAAGAAAAAAATTTCAAAAATTTCTGAGATACATCGATTTTAGTGATGTAACTACATGGCGTTTTCAGTCCAAAAATGGTAAATGTTTAAAAAATCGCCAAAAATCGAGGTTTTAGGCAAATTGCAAATTAAGGACATGATAAGACGCAGCTCAACGAGTTCTTTAAAATGGCTATCACGGATTTTCCATAAAATGCGTTTTTCACCCCTAAAAATTCAAAAAACTATATTTTTTGGAAAACAGCTAATAAAATCCAAAATTTTGAGAATTTCCAAAAAACCGGAATATATGTTATAGACCTCTATTAGAACATAAGATGTTCCAAATTTCAACTTTCTATCTTGATTTTTGACCCCCAAATTGTAAAAAATAGCTCCAACATGCATAGGGCATGGTGACGTCATAAGCATTTTCGCGAATTAGAGGCACTTCTGAACATCGCATGTGAAAACAAATGGCACCACTAGATTCCTGGGACAAAGCTCGTCTAGAAAAGTGCATTTTTATGTCAAAAATAAAAAGTTGAAAAATTGACTTTTTTTCTTAGCCCTCGTTTAGTTATGTATGGTATAAACGGTTTTTTATGCTTTCAATGCACACTTATCACCAGCACAGTGACTTGGGGTCACATATAACCATTACCATCGGATTTGGCGTGAAAAATAAGCCATAAAACATATGTCGCACGCCCATGTAGCAGAAAGTGAAAACCGTGACCTTTCGTGACCTGACCTGACCTTGACCCGTACTTAGTATGACCCCTATACGCACATGGTACCTTCACTAGGTCTTTGAGGTCATTTGTGGTGAGTTTCGAGCAGCAGCTATCGATTCCGCTGTCCGTAAGCCTAATCATGCAAAACCCCTGAGTTTGACCTTTGACCTGACCTTGACCCGAAAGTTGACCTCAATCTTAAAATCTTAAGAGTGCTTTGGGAAGGTCTCGTAGAGACCTTTCGAACGCCGCCTCGCGGGGCTCGATACGACCATTGGTTCTGGAGATAACAGGGGGGGGTCGGATCCGACCCCCCCAGGCTGATGTGGGTACGGAAATAGCCCAGGCGGTGCCGGGTTAACCCGCGCCCCACTGGGGGGGGGGGGCTATTTATAGCCCCCCTCCCGTTTTTCTGCAATAACTTCCAAACCGGTTGACGGATCGACGCCAAACTTTCAGTACCTTCGGCTGCATCAATTTGACACCTTGTGTCAAAATTTGAACTACGTAGCTACCATAGGTCGGCCGGAAATGACGTCAAAGTGACGTCATGTTCGTCCGATTTCGACGCCAAACATTGAACCACGGCAATCGCTCCCAAGAGCTCAGTTTTTAAGCTAGATCCAATTTCTTTGCATGAAAGGACTCAGAATTGACCGCGCTATCAAACTGCTATCTCGAATTTTCAAAATTTTGAAAATTTCGAAAATTTTATATAATAATATTCAAAATTTATTATATTTTTTTCAAAAAGTTTTTGACTTTACGAAAAAAAAACGGAATATATGTGACAGAACGCATGATTATGACTAACTCTAGCAAGTTTTAGCTAAATATCTTCAAAAATGGCCAAGTTATACGCATTATTGCAAAAAATTCACAATTATTAATTTTTCAAATCAATTTTTCAGTACGTATTTGACATCGTACACCAATATAAATGGCACCATCGTGTTCCTGAGCTCAAACTGCATCCAATAGACACCTTTTTTGTTGAAAAATTTAAACTTCAAAATTTGACCTTTTTGACCTGAGCTGAGAGTGACCTGACCTTAGCTAAATTCGACTCAAAATGACCTCGAATGACACAGACGACATCAAATTCGAAATCTATGGCATAAATGGACCATAAAACATGTGTCACGTGACCGACGCATGATATAATATTTCCGTGACCTGTGATGACCTGACCCTGACCTGAAAATCAAAGTACAAGTTTGGTACCCTCAAGGTATCTAGAGCATCTGTTCACGAGTGTGGAAACCAAAAATGAGCCTGATCTGACTTGTAAGACGGCGGCCAGAGCCCAAAATGTGAACAAGCCAAAATGCTAATAATTTTTACTTTGACCTGACCTGTGACGTCATCGGTGACCTCGAGGTCAATGAAATTAGGTTTCGCTCGACAGTTTTTCCGGGGCTATCAGACACCGTTTGAGCCCCCCCCCCCCCAGTAGGGCGTGTTATACACAGACCCCAGTGGGGCGCGGGTTAAATAAGGAACTAGGAAGGCAGTGCACCAATCACTGAACCATTTCACCAGTACCCGCACGCACCGCATCCCAGTCTACTCCTCACCTGGATCTTGTGCGATGGGCAGCCGAACGTCTCCGTCTCCAGGCCGACCGTGCGCAGCTGAGCGCGGACAAACTGCTCGGCCGACGGCACGAACAGGCGTGGAGACGTGTACTTGGACATGTTGGAGCACACGAAGGCCGGCGTGGTGCTCTGCACGATGACGCCGCGGGCGCGCACCTCGGTGGCCAGGCCGGAGCTCAGCTGGGCCACGTACGCCTGGCGGAGAGTGGACGGACGGTCATACGGCGAACGGTACAGGCAGTGTCGTAGGTGGTGGTGTGGGGGGACTCCCGCCAGGGATCTCCGAGGTCAGCAGTGACTCGTAGCTATGGTGTTATAACACTGTCTCGCCAAAACATACAGAGCCTGCTTTGACGAACACAACACCTGGTTCTATTGAATTGGAAGCCTTGGTATTGCAGCATTGCAACAAATATCATGGGTATTTGCTGTGTTTCCTCTGCCTAGCACTCAAGCAGCTCTACTCAACGTGCACATAACATGGTTCTATGAGCGGCGTTGAGAAGCCGGTTACCTTAACAGTTACCCCGGCCCGGTTACCCTGGTAGTCACCTCCCGGTTACCCTCACAGCCCGGTCACCCTGGTGGTTACCTTAGTAGCCGAGTACTGGGTGAGAAGCGCGGTCCGTTACCTTGTGCCGGTCTGGTTACCCAGCTGTTACCCTGGTGGTTCCCCTCCCCGTCCGGTTACCCTGGTAGTTACCCTCCCGGCCCGGTTACCCTGGTGGTTACCCTCCCGGCCCGGTTACCCTGGTAGTTATCTCCCGATTACCCTGGTGGTTACCTTGGTGGCCGAGTACTGAGTGAGGAGCGCGGTCGGCATCACGGCAGAGAACGACGACAGGTTGATGATGACGCCCTTCTTCTTTTCCAGCATGTGCGGCAGCACGAACCGCGTCATGGCCGTCACCGAGAGCGCGTTACAGTTGAGGATGTTCTCGGTGAACCTGGGCACGGGGCGGGAGGATGTCACCGGAGGCGCGCGAGGGTCCGGAGCTTCGGCCATGTCGACCACCACCACCGGAAAAAAAGAATCTTTAATTGATCGAATTGCGTAAGTACAGCGATAACCAACAAAAACCGAGGGGTGATAAAAGACAAGCTCTCTATTCTCCTCGTGGCCTTAAAGACGTTTATTCGTACGAATTGGCCTCCGCTCTCCCTTCAGTCAAGCCTTTCGCAGTGGACCCAAGAGCCCGGCGCAAGAAAAGCCAGTCACGGATCAGCAGATAAACGACCGGCGAACGCCACTTACTTGTCGTCGGGAATTTCGGTGAAGTACTCCGGGTGGTCGTAGTTCATGCCCACGTTGTTGACCAGCACGGCGATGTCCAGACCCTCCAGACCTTGTTTGACCGGGCCATACGCCGACAGACCCTGGGTGAAGTCCATCGCCACCGTCTTCGTCTTCACACCGTGTTTGGTTTCTGCGGCAAGAGTGGTGAAAAGGCTCAATCCAAATCCACACGACACATTGGATTGGAGAGTACTCTTACGTATCTTCTTGGGCACGCGTTTATTCATATTGGTTTTTGATTCAGTACCATTAAAAATAGCCTCTTTACCAAAGTTGTGGCAACTGCAATCTATTGTCTGCTCCAAAATGTCACACAAAGATATCGTTACAGCTATTCGTATAAGACCCATTCCATCTGTATAGCACTTCAAAGCAGGGTGCAGGCACGCAGCCGGCACAGCAACTTACCAATCTCCTTGGCGACCTGGTCGAGCTTGGACTGCGTGCGGCTGATGAGCAGGACGTTCAGGCCGCGCCGGGCGAACTGAGGGCGGACAGACACACACGGTGAGCCGAGCTGGCAGGCGCAGATCCAGCACGGATCCCGGTAGCTGGCACGGCCATTTTCAACACAGCTGACGATGCTAACCATGTTGAAGAATAAGATAACTGACACAGCCCACCGACACACAAGAAGGGAATGCCATGAATATGACGCAAGTCCTAATGCAATCTTACGCAGTGATTGCAAGGTAAGAAAGTGAATGTTCCAGCAGATCAGTTTCGTTGTGGTTAGAAACACTGCAAAATGAATGTCAAATCATTAAAAAAAACCAATTGAGCGAACAAGGAAAGGTAAAGAGTGAAAACAAACGAGCAGCAAGACCTTAACACATAATATTCATAGTCAAGTTGTTTGTTAGAACAAACTCGGCTATGTCCTTCGGCAGTGTTATAAGACAAATCACTGATCACACCAACCTCCATCGCGTAGGCCTTGCCGATTCCATCGGTGGCACCAGTGATAACTGAAAAGCAAACGTCAGCTGTAACTAACAAACGATGAACGCTAGGATGAGGCTATAATAGGGCGCTTAAAACGGTTGAAATTTATGAAAACGTATTTATGCATTCATACGTTGAGAGGGAATAGTCGATCAAGTTTAGGTTCTTTCAAGACAACAGCATATTTACTCCTACGAAAGGGCGCATGTGAACTACTTGGTAGCAGCAGTTACTGTGTGCTTCATTTACCTATTGTAGTATGAAGAAAATGGTAGGTACCCGATTAAATCTAGCTGGCAGCAATGGAATAATGTTGCCTGAACAAAATTTACTGCAGGAGTCTAAAATTCTAGTCAATGGTGTCCAGCCTCAGCTTACCTGCCCATTCGCCAAGCTTCTTGTAGTTTGGCGTGTGGCCCAGCATATCTCCCAGGAAAAAGATGTAGACGAATCTATACACCGCGAGGGCTATCTTGGACACCAAGAAGAGGGCGGCAGCATAGCCCAGCAGTTCGATAACGCACACCATGGCTGCTCTCTAAATGCTGATTCTGCAACGGACACAATAGGGAATCATGAGCAAATGAGAAAAAGCCGGACCGTTCAAGCAACTCGCTGAATTCTGCGGGGACAGGCATATTTTTGTCCAATCCAGACGGAGCTCTGGAATAATCCCGATAAAAATCGCGATTCCCAGCACTCCTCGGCCCCGATGAATCAGCACATGTTCGGCAGATTACATGTTAGCGCTGAGCTCAGGACACATGGCCGTCTGACACTGAAGCGGTGCCGCCACACCTTAACAACTCGGCTCGGACATGGGTATGAAACGGACCAATCTCAAAAACTGGTCTCGGACGACACAGTCCTAGACCTGGGCCGGGGCGAACGGATGAATAACCACACGGTCGGAACACAAACGCACAGGCAAATGAAGGCATGGACAAGGGACAGGGACGCCCATACGGTGGGAGATACGGACAAAGGATGGGCCAGCAAAACAATGGCCGATGCGAGGAGGGACGATGGGATGGACGCAAACGATAGGGATACTGACCAGGACGAGCGGCGAGCACAAACAGCGGAAAACAAAGATTCCAGATAACACATGATGATGAACTACACCGGTGACAATTAATTAAGATGAGTTTCAAGGCGTTATGACGGGCCAATGATCGGGATGGGTGAGCGCTGATGCAATGACAACCTGTACTTGTACTCTGGTCAAGGGCAACATAGTCGAGACGATAGACACAGACCAGTCCACAAACGAAAGAACACATACGTAAATCTGAAGAGAAAACGCACCCTACTCGCGGCCACTCACCGACAATACCGCCCGGAAACACCCGCCTCAGTAAACACACCCTAAACGTCGTTCGCGCCCGCACCGTCGCACAGTGTGAATACTGGACGGACGGGCATGCTAATGCGCCGGGGAACCGGACGCGGCTGACCGTGCGGCGGGCAGTGGGTCGGCGCCGGCCGGCCGGTCGGCTCGGCCGCGCACCGGCACTAGTTGTCCCAGCACCACCACCGGCGGCGCAAAAACCGGACACAAAAACAGACAGCTTCGTGGCCAACTGCGGGCCGTGCAGCGTCCATGAACGGAGGCAACAAACGCTGAACGGACTGGCCCGAGATATATAAACGGCTCATAACTACAAAGAAACAAATTATTTCGGTAAATCCCAACGAACTACTTCCAAACTCTTGCCTTACAGGAGTTAGTATCAGCTTTCGTCATAAGTTACAGCAAAGGTGACGCACTGCTTAGAAAGTTAATTTGTTCCTCCGTCGAAGGTAACGTACCTTAGCTGCGGATGGTCTCGGTCCTCGCGAGAACAGTTATACGATCAATGGGGCTCACTCGGCAGACGATGCGGGCCGGAGGAATGCGGCCGGACGGCTTATAACCGGACGCGGCGCGCACAACTGAGTCGGTCAGCGGAAGCCAGCCTCTCCGCCCGGTCTGGCCCGGTCTCGCCGCCCCGTGTGAGCCGGACACGTCCGAGCCAGGGACCAGCTCCGACTGTTGACCTCTGACCCCGACTGACGTGCCCGCAAACGGGGAGCCGGCACGGACTTTGAACCCCGATCGCGCCACGGAGCCGGTAGGTAAATACCGCGATGACCATTCGTCGGCGCCACATTGTCACGTCATGTTCCATACTCGGGCGTCAAATCCTTCTCCCCTATGCCTCCGACCCCTGATCCGGGCTGGACGGCTAACTTTTTCCGACATGGACAGCCCCTTGGCGATGACCTGAATGTCACTGTAAAGTAACTCGGTGAGAACGGGACCTATAGGCCAAGTGGCATTTCTATCGCGATGACCTTCAAGGTAAGGTAAGGGTAAGGTAGGTAAGGTACAGGGTGATCGAAAAAAAAGTGTCACCCCTAATTTTAAAGCCATATAACTCGCGATTGGTTGGTCGTACGACTTTGCGCCAGGCAGCATTGGAAAGAGCATACAATTTCCTTTCGAATGGATGTAAATATGCATGGTTTATGCCGCAAACGAAGATGTAGCTATTAACAAAGTATGTTAAGGACGCAAATTGGCGTGTTCAAAAGTTTGGTTGTGCAAATTTGTACTTTTGACAGAGTTTTTGATCTGACAGCTCACGTGACAGCTCACGTGAGCATTTTTCTTAACTGTTCCATGTTACCGCTGCATAAAATTGATAATCCGGTAGTGCAGGTTGTCGCAATAATTCGCTAGTTACCGGCGAATTTGTGAATAATGAGGCCGCATATTTGCAAGGAAGATCTGATAAGGTCTTCCTTGCCTAAGGTCAGCTGAGAAACAAGTCTAAGGTCAGCTGAGAAACAGTCTGCAGTGAACAACATACACTCCATGTGTAATGTGTAAGGTGTGTGTTATGTTGAGTTACGATACTCATTGTTCTCGTTCAGCGGTGTCCGATCCCGTTCGGTGAATTTCGTTTCACGTGAAAGCCGGACATTGACTGGTTTTTGAGCCCATGGGGACATGATTTGGAATAGAAAACAATCATGAATACATTCAATTGAAAAGAAATTGCCTGCTCTTTCCGATGCTGCCTGGCGTGAAGTCATCCGACCTACCAGTCGCGAGTTATGTAGATTTTAAGTTAGGGGTGACATTTTTTTTTCGATCACCCTGTATAAAGGCTGCCTCCTGGTCATGTTAGGCTCTGGTCATAGCTGTGTTTGACCACGCTGACACTTTGAATATTAACAACTCTTTGTGGTAGTCGATTCCACAGGTTGACTACCCTGGTTGAGAAAAATAGGCATCGTTTCCAAGTTCTGTGTTGTGGTTTGGCAAGCTTCAGGCTGTGTCCCCTTGTTCTCTGGTAATGACCTGCACTTCTTGTTCTGTCTTGTAGCAGAAACTTAACATCAGCACTGATCTTGTCAAAACCTCAGATCTTGTTAACTTCAATAAGGTCACCTCTCCTTCTTTCCTCCAGGGTGGCAAGGTTCAAATAGGTCAGTCCAACTCCAAGGCGATAAATAGGTACCAGGTGACGTCACGAGGAATCGGTGTAGGCCTGCTGGCGTCATGGTGTGATTTGGGAACACTTTCGGAAGTTAAAAAGCATTTATGAAATAGTATTAGACATAGTTATAATACTTTTTCATCAAAGTTCTCTCGAATCTTACACAAGTATCCTAAAACAACATATCTATTCAAGAGGTTTCCTCAGAACAGATGCACTATTCACATCCCCAGTAAACATGCCGACGTCGGTCCGACCTCGGCACGACGTCGGCTGGATGTCGGGTACGCCCGCATGTACCGACGTCCAGCCGAGGTCCAGCCGGCGTCGGGCCGACGTCGGACCGAGATCAATAGCTGAGGTCCAGCCGACGTCGGGGACGTCGGACCGACATCGGCCGCTGTTTTGACCGTTAAAATAATATAAAATGCATGTTTCATGTTCCATAAAAAGCTTCTGTATTCAAAATATCCTAAGGAAAGTCAAATCCTCCTCCACGCCGCAACCCCCTGATCCGGACTGGACGGGAAACTTTACCCCATTTGGGATTGCCCGTAAGCCAAGCTCGCCCGTAGCCGGGTGCGGTGAGTGCTTGGGGGCTGCTCGGCCTATCCTTTGGTCAGGCTCAGCCCCGGCAACTCACCAGGGCCGGGCCCAGTTCATATAGAAAGGCCAGTCGGCAAGTGTCACTTTGCCAGAGTGCCACTTATCAAAGGGACACTTTTGGAAACGTTGGTGCAGGTGTGTGTAAGGGTGGCTATATGAATACATTTGTGGGGTCGCCCTTTCCAATAAGTGTCACGTAACAGCAATGGGACTCTTTATGAACTGGACCCAGGGTGCTCGCCAAGACCAATGTCTCCATCCTATCATCCTTCCGACTCTGAAATTGTCTTGTCAGACCGAAAGGGCATAACCCAACAAAACAAACTGAATTCGCCATCTGGCTGCGTGGTTTAGTGGTTAGCGCAGTATCCTGGCGTTCAAATGACACAGGGTCCGAATCCTGTCGCCGGCTGATGCTTTTGGCGCGTTGTCCCAGTAAACATGCCGACGTCGGCGACTGGGGGGTCCCGCCGCCGGTTGATATTTTTGGCGCGTTGTCCCAGTAAACATGCCGACGTCGGCCCCGTCGGTCCAACGACAAACCATCTCGTACACCTCGGCAAACGACCTCGGCCCAACGTCAGCTCGACGTCGGCTGGACTTCGGCTGGACGTGGGTACATGCGGGCGTACCCGACGTCCAGCCGATGTCGGACCGATGTTGAACCGACTTTGGGCAGACATCGGGCCGAGCCTCGGCCCGACGTCAGCATGTTTACTGGGTCATGACTTCCCAGAAACCGAACACGTTACAGGTATGCTAGTGACTACGGGCTGGGTCAGTCTGTCTCTGTATGGCATGTGGGCAAGTCCAGGAATGAGTTTAGTTTCGCTCCCCCGGGCCCTGAACCCTTCCAAGATAGTATAGTATATAGTGGTTACGGATTTTTAGGACGGTCAACAAAGGACCTGTAGGAAATCCGGTCATTTGCTTCTCCCATACTCCAACCATGTAGCTTTCAGCTCATCCTGGCACCACATGCTTAATCAGTTCGCATTCCCCTTCCTTTCCTTAGGTGTTTCTTTGAGTACCTAGGGCAGGGGTCGGCAAATGGTGGGGCATGCCCCCTTTGGGGGTAATGGCGCCCTTCGGCGGGGGGTAATGAGGGCCTCTGAGAAAGCCTCATCTTTTTTTTAGAATTAATGGCTCCCTTGATGGGACAGAGATCGCAACTGTTGTGCCCCAGGATTAAAAAATTAGTCGAGGGCAAACGCACAAAGCATGAACTGATCGCATGCCAATTTTCATGTACATAGCTGCTCACCATTCCGTACAGCCGTGGAAAGTAACTGTCATGTATTAGCCGGCGCTCGCCTGTTGGCGTTTTCACAGTCACTAAAGCAAGGGAGAGGAGTTGTCCATTGCACCCTGACCCGTGCATCTCGGCCTCTGAGCTGGAGCTTTGCAGAAAAATTGAGCGTGCTGCCCGTGAAGATAGGCAGCCGCTGGCCCGCTAC